CCCCGCATCGCAGCCTTGGCGCAGGCTAAGCCTTGCACATTGTATCCTTGCCCCGATGTACTTCAATCCGAAGATTATGTCGCCTTTGATCAGACCGTTTCGAATATGTAACTCACCTATACCCTGTCACAATTTAGGACAAGATCAAGAAGCTGGTCGACATCTGGGAACGTGGTGCGACTTTCCCAGCCCCGATGCTCACTTCATTCAAGGAGAAGCTGAACGCTGCTCAAAGTAAGTCCTCAAGGATGGGAATGTATGTCGATGATACTGACAATTCACTAGACGTCGAATCAAACACCCCCGAAGGATCCCCTGCACCGAACGCCAATCCGATCGGAATCCCGCAACAGTCGGCAGCACCTGATACCTCGAGCATCTTGAAGGCTTTGGCCGACATGGCCAAGCAGAACACTACCGCGCCTGCTGCTCCTCCGTCTCTTGCACCGGCCAACCCTATGGGTGCTTTCAATTCGGCCTCTGTGACTCCCGCCAATGACTCAAGCTCGCACATGGCCGCTGCCATGAACGCACTTGGCGCCGGTGGACCTGTCGCGCCTCCCTTCGCCGGTATGCCCGGCATGGTTCAGAACCCTGCCCTTCAACCGCAGAGTCAAAGTGGAACTCCAATCTCGATGCCCGCCGCGAACCCGTTGACCGCGATGCTTCCTCAGGCTGCGCAGCCTGCCGCACCCGACTCGAACGCCATGGCACAGCAGCTCCAGCTTCTTCAGATGCTCGCAGCCCAGGGTATCCCTCAAGACCAGTGGGGAACTGCCTTGCAACTCTTCAGCATGACCAACAATGGTGGTATGGGCGGCATGCCAGGTATGCCTGGTATGCCTGGAATGCCTGCGATGCCTGGAGGACCGATGGCTGGATTCAACCCGATGCAAGGACAAAACGTTGGTGGATGGGGTCACCCGGATGCCCAGAATAAGGATGATCGTGGCCGTGAATACCCTCGCTCGCCGCCCACTGGATATCGTCGCCGCTCTCGCTCTCCAGGCTGGGATAGACGCCGTACTGCTTCCCCCCCTCGCCGTCGTGACAGCCCTGTTTATGGAGAATATGGTGAATCGCCTGGTCGTCGTGGAGACCCGCGTGATGCACGAGGCCGTCGTGGTAATGAGTATCGCCAGCGTAGCCCTCCTGGCGGCCGCGGTGGTGGTAGACGTCGCTCGCCTTCACCTGCTCGTAACAAGGATCCTAACCTGCCTCCCCCTGGACCCAAGTTCATTGAATGGGACTATTCGATTGGTCAGGGTATGATCAAAGTCTTGAGCCGAACTCTTTTCGTTGGTGGTGTCACCTCCTCCGAGACTCACCTGCGTCAGCTCTTTGGTCAGTTTGGTGTTGTTCAAACTTGCATTGTAAACGTGGACAAGCGCCACGCTTTTATCAAGATGGTTAGCCGTACCGATGCCATGCAGGCACGTGATGGAATGGAGTCTTACCGTACTGGTGAGATGCAACTCAGGGTAAGTCTTTTTCTTCGTTTTCTTCGTTTTCTTTTCTTTCTGGTTATCCCTCCGCGGGGTGATCAGACCTTATCCTTGGATCTTATCACTGACTTTATCAATATAGACTCGTTGGGGTGTTGGCTTTGGTCCTCGTGACTGCAGCGACTACCAAACTGGTGTTAGTATCATTCCGATTGAGCGCTTGACTGAGGCTGATCGCAAGTGGATGCTTTCGGCGGAGTATGGTGGAACTGGTGGACGTCCCATTGAATCTGGAATGATTGTTGAGGAGCCCGACATTGAGATTGGCGCTGGTGTTTCTTCTAAGGCTATCAGCCGTCGTATCGCCACTGACACTGGCGGCAAGCGGGGCCCTATTTCCACTCGCACCAACCCTAACCCCCAGGATACTCGTTTCGGCGGTCGCCGTCCTGAGCGTGATGGATACGGTGGCGGTCCCCAGATGGGAGGTGGTGAACTTGACATGCCTAACATGAGCAATCAGGGAGCCGCGCCTGCAGTTCCTTCGTATGGTTTCAACTTTGCCAGCATGCCCATGCTTCCTCCCGGATTCATGATGGGCGCTCAGCCCGGTATGCCCGGTGCCCAGCCTCCTTCTGGTGGTCAGGGCAATTGATTTTTCTTGATTCCTCATTGATGCGTGCATATGGTCCAGATAGGTTGCGCGCACCGCGCATGGCAAAGGCGTTGGGGGATTGGGCTTAATTCTTTTTTTTTTTCTTATCTCGAGGCATATCATTCGGCGGGGGGGAGGTTTTTGTTTTTTTTCTGCACTTCTCTTACCATTTTAATTTTCATAGTTGTGCATGACGTCTCGCCAATGGTGATTGAAATAGGTGGACACATTCGGATGAAACAAATTTTACGAGAATTCGAATAACTCGTTAACGTGACTTCAATGGTTCCCTTGTAAGATTTTTTCGGCTTAGCCTTGTGATTTTCCCTATGGAAAATATACGGACGTGCCCTACTTGTAGTATCTATCTTGTAAAAATGTTCATTGATATCCGTATCGAGTTCATAACTATGTTTACCATGCCGCTATGTAGTGTCCATTCGGTATTCCATCTTCATGCATGAGAGCATCCACATGTATCAGAACCTTCAAGCAGTACGGTCCGGCAAAGCCTTTGATGCCTGGAACGACTGCTCAAAGTCAGCAATGATGTCGTCAATGTACTCTGTCCCAACCGAGATGCGGATTCCATCCTCCTTGACACCGGAGTCACGACGCTCTTGCTCCGTGAGCTGCTCATGGGTGGTGGACCAAGGGTGAATGGCCAGAGTCTTGGAATCACCAACACTGCAGTGTGTTAGTAAAAGGTTAAAGGGGGGTGAATTGGAATGAATCATACTTGGCAAGGTTGGAGATCAACTTGAAGTTGTCCACGACCTGAGCACCAGCGGCAGCGCCACCCTTGATGCCCACAGACAACACACCACCAAAGCCACGGGGCAGGTATTTCTTTGCGAGATCGTGGCTAGGGTGATCCTCCAGACCTGGGTATGACACCCAGCTCACATTCTCGTTCTTCTGCAACCATTTGGCTAGGGCGGTAGCGTTAGTTGCGTGTCTCTCGCAGCGCAGACTCAGAGTCTCGAGGCCGAGGATCAACTGCTGGGCAGCGAAGGGGTTCAGGGCAGAACCAAGGTCGCGCAGGATCTCCACGCGTACTCGGATAGCATAAGCAAGCGAGCCAAAGGTCTCCCAGAACTTCAACCCGTGGTAACCCTCGGACGGCTCAACGAATTGGGGGAACCGGGCAGCGTTCTTGCCCCAGTCAAACTTTCCACTGTCAATGACGACCCCACCAATGGTGGTACCATGCCCACCGATCCACTTTGTAGCACTGTGCACGACAATATCGGCACCGTGGTCAATTGGGCGAACGAAGTAGCCACCAGCGCCGAAAGTGTTATCGACCTAAAAGTAAGATCGTAAGATTTGCATCCTCATACAATTTCTAGACAAATAACATACCACAACTGGAACCCCTTTCTCGTGTGCAGCCTTGGCAATGGCCTCAAAGTCCGGGACATTGTAGCGGGGGTTACCAATAGACTCGATGTAGACAGCCTTGGTACGGTCATCAATAGCCGCGGCAATATCCTCAGGCTTGTCACCCTGGACAAACTTGGTAGTGATTCCCATGCGCGGGAACGTAACCTTGAACTGGTTGTAGGTGCCGCCGTACAGGTTGCTGGTGGAGACGATGTTGTCTCCGGCATGGGCGAGGGCCGTGATGGCCATGAATTGGGCAGCCTGGCCGGAGGCGGCAGCAACGGCGGCAACACCACCTTCCAGGGCGGCAATACGCTTCTCGAAGACATCGACTGTGGGGTTCATGATTCGGCTGTAGATGTTGCCGAACTCCTTGAGGCCGAAGAGCCTCGCGCCGTGGGCCGAGTCATTGAAGACGTAAGAGCTAGTCGCGTAGATTGGGACAGCGCGGGAGTTTGTGGCTGAATCGGGCTCGTGCCTTGAGCTGTTAGATTGGTCTTCGAATTGGGAGACGGGATACTTACCCAGCATGAAGCTGTAGAGTGTCAAAGTGGAGATTCTTGGACATGGTTCAAGAATGCGGGGAAGTTATGTGAATTTAGGACAAGACACTATCAAGCATACCGATACCTAAGACTATTGAGATTGAATTGAAGAAAACGAAGAAAACGAAGAAAACGAAGAAGATCAAGCAGAAGGGAAAAGGAAAGGACGATGGCGGGGTGCAGATGGCGTGATTTGGTTACACTCCACATGTTCCTGAATTCATATACAACATACATGGTAGACTACATAGGTAAATATAGTACAGTAAAAGCGGTTAATCTATTTATTAAATATTAGTTAATATAAATATTAGTAACTATAAGTATCTTCTAATACAAATCTATAAGTAAAAAATAAGAATTTAGTAAAATAAGTTAATATTTTTATCTATCTGTTTTAGATACATAGGTAATCCTTAGTAGAATTATACTATAATCATACTAACTACAACATACACTATATAGTTATTAACATTAAAATCTAGTCCTATAGTACCTATACCATATTTCATCTGCCGGGTGGGGCTTTTTATCTTAACTGCCGCTTTTCAGCGGAGTCCGCCCGGCGGCTCACTTGGATTTCAGTCCGGGGCTCAGACTTAGTAAGCTGACCAGAGTAATCACGTGCCTCATCAGTGATCGCTGACTGATTACTCACATCTCAGGGGCATCTATAATTTACATTCCTCCAACCTACAATGCGGGAGTGCTAGCTTATTCACCAACTTGTCTTTCCCCATTTTTCAACAATTTCGAACTTACTTTCATAAGGTATCTGACAAGATAGTACATTGCTAGCAGGTCGATTTCAAATTATAACACAGTTGTAGAAAGGGTATATGGGGTCTAACAAGCATTGTAGCAAAAATAGGGTTTATGTAGATGTTGACAACACAATCCTAGCAAGACGATGTGATTCCGATCCATAAGCACATACTCCCCTCCCTATATATCCATGTACTCGTCCGCTTAGAATTCACCATAACGGTAGATACCTTCCTCAAGAGCTTTGATCTGGAGTGCCAGAACCTTAGAATAGTATCTTGCAGTTGCCAGGTTGCCCCCATGAAAGTAGAATCCCGGGTGCCCACTATCCTGCCACATGGTCCTGACTTCTCCTTCATTATTATAACCCCAAACATCAGATACCTTATCAGCCACCTTGTCGCCCAGAATCGTTCTTGTTTCCGAACGCATATTGTCGTATCCAGTAGCGAAGATGATTTCGTCAGCTTCTAGCTCAGAACCATCGGCAAATTTTAGCCCTCGAGGCAGAACTTCAGCAATTTCCTGACCTTGCTTCACCTTGATCTTCCCATCCACGATCATTTGAGAGGCCCCGACATCGATATAGTAGCCACCACCGCGCTGGAAATACTTGACGAATAGTCCGGCGCCATTGGGACCACGATCAACCTTGAACCCGGCTCTTGAAAGCCCATCTAGAAGCTCCTTATCGTGCTCTGCCTCTTGAGCAGTGATATGGATTTGAAGCGCCTTCATGACTGGCGTAGGAGTGCCATGTAGAAGGAGATCGGCATCTGCCACTGGCGGACCATCCTCTTCGTAAAGACCCTTTAGACCGATCTTCCTGATGGCAGTCGAGGAGATAATGCATGTTGTCGATCTCTGGACCATAGTTATATGATAGCCTTTCTCCTGATAATCTTGTGCGATATCGTGGGCCGAATTACACGAACCCACAACGATAGCCTTTTTGCCATGGCTATTTCTCTGGGCGCCTGGAAATTGCGAAGAGTGACAAAGAAGCTCACCCTGGAAGTTCTCCATGCCAGGGATATGAGGCATTTTCATCTTTCCAGAATGACCGGTCGCTTGGATAATATGACGGGGGCGGAAGCTTCTCACTTCGGTGGCTCCGTTCTTCTGTTGGCGCGAGAGGTTCACGATCCAGTTGGTATTTTTCTCGTCCCATTCGCACTGGGTGATAGCCGTACTGGTCCAAACATTGAGTTCTAGCATTTTGACGTAGCACTCAAAAAATTCAGCCAGCTTATCCTTCGGCGTAAAGATAGGCCAATTCGCTGGAAACTCCATGTAAGGCATATGATCGTACCACACTGGATCGTGTAGGACGAGCTGACGATACCGCAGTCGCCAGTTATCCCCGACTGAGTCGTTTTTATCGATGATGAGGGAGTCTACTCCTAGCATCTTTAATCTCGCCGCCGCGGTCAAACCACCCTGTCCGGCGCCTTTGAAATAAGGATCAGTGGGGTTCTTAAAAACGATGATTAGATAGGAACTCACCGATGATGAGTACACTGGGCTCATGGCCATCAGTGTAAGCAGAAAAATCGGCTCTTTTTTCCGCCCAATTTTTGCGATCCGGGTGACCACCGTGCTCCGCACCCTTGGGTCTCCGATGTCCAAGAAGCTCTTCATAACCCTTGAGCTCCTTAAGAGCAGTAAACAAGGTGTAGAATTTCCAAGTATCGTTCTGCGGCGCGAGGCGGGCGATTCCAACCGCAGAACCATGAGCCGTCTCCGCGGTGAAGAAAAATTGGATGCCTTGAACTTCGCCAGCTCCATCAAGTGCGCACACTTTCGGAGCGCGAACCGAGGTGCTCCTGTCAATAGAGATTTTCTGGAGTCGCATGCCGTCCCTGGACTCAGAACATCTCTCAAGGAATTTCACGATGGGTTCATGGCCTTGGACCGTTCGAAGCTGCCATGATAAAGCTAGATGGTCGCGCCAGAAACCGTTGTCCCCAAATAAGCTCGCTATGTTGCCAAAGTCGCGTTTGGCCAATGCAAGATTGAAAGCGTTAACAAGGTTCGAAGCAATCTGCTCCGGCTCACGGATGACACTTTTAGATGGTACTGGGAAGCGTGCTACTGGTATGTTGACTGAGCCAGGCACTCCACGGATGTGCGAGGGAACGTTCTGCTGGATATCTGGGGTGGCCATTGTGGAAATACTGAGAAAGGAGTTGAAATTTCCAATAACGAAGCAAGAAATCTTGAATAGGAAGGATTGGATTCTCTTAGGATGGTATGAGTATCGGGAAAAAGGGGTGCTCGAGAAGATTTATAAGTTTCCCAGGGCATCTTATTAAGCCAATCCACCTGAACGTGCGATCTTGGTTTTTGGTGGACTTGTTTGGAACCGCTGAGGGGTAAAATCTTCATTGTTTCGGTGAAATTGGGAGCTTCTCGAGGCGCGGAGCGGCTCCGACTTAGGACCGACGTCCACATGTGACTAGGATAGATAGAATGGCCAATTACATTCGCAGGAGGCAAGATGGCTGTACCTGCAACTGGTTTGTCATCTTCCTTTTACGGGGCCCCGGATCGGATGATCGACTTTTGCTCCACTACTCCAGGTTCAGCTCCAGGTCCCAGTCTTGCAGTGCATCCGCTCTTCCGACCATAGATGGGGTCCATGATATGGGTTAGCAATTTCGGAAGCCATTCGCATGTTGATTAGTGGGAGCTCCTCGTCCTTCTCCATCTATCCGGCTCAATAGTTTAGGCCCATGATAATGTAGATCTACAACAGATCAGCAAAGAAATTGCCAAGCTATATAATGCCTGGAAATCATTTGAAGCTGCTTTCACACTCCATCTTTGTCCACACTTCTATTTTCCCCTTCCTATCTTCGTCAATAAAGATGACTCAAACCTCCGATGCGAGTAAAGCCGATATTATGTCCAACTTTGCCAACGACGTTCAGCATGCAGAATGTGGAGATATTACATCTCCTTCTGCTTTTGAGGGGACCAGGTCTACAGGAAGCATCATGATATCTCCAGAACTATTTGAAAAGCTTTACTTGAATCCAAAAACTCCAGTTGCTGGGAACCTTCGGAGTATCATTGGCAATCCAACCCCGATGTATGGCAGTCGTGTTTAGGTCACCTCTGCTAGGAAACGACTGACACTAGTCTAGAGCTATCGCCGGCTTTGTCATGGCCTTGACCCCTCTATGCTTTTCCCTGATGGGCTGGAGAGGAGCTGGTCATAATGGGGCTGCTCATATGTCAGTAGTTGGCATCAGTCTAAGTTCATATTCGGGAGTGCACACTAACTCGCTATTCGTATAGTGGAGGATACATTTTTTTCGGGGGCATTCTGTTACTTGTTGGTGGGTTGCTAGAGTGTATCATAGGTAACACCTTTTCATCCGTGGTGTTCATGTCCTTTGGTAAGTGATATCGCGGCCATGGTCGTTTTCAGGCATGTGTCACTAATTACTGATGACACCAATGATTCAGGATGCTTTTACCTTACCCTCGCCGCGACTATACAGCCCTTGTATAATGCTTATGCACCCTATTCACCGTCGCCTAGTGATCCCACTGCAGGGCTCGAGACGGAGGGCTTCAATGCCAGCTTTGGTTCGTCAACTACCTCGTTTTTCCGGCCTTGCTTTTTTTTATTTTTTTTTTAAGCGAAGCGTGAACAAGAGTCTAATGAAATAAAACGTTTTACAGGATTTTTCTTAGTTTGCTTCAATATTTTATGCTTTTTTTACTTGATATGCGCCTTCCGGACCAATTTTGTCCTTGTTTATATCCTTTTTACTGTGGTCATTGGTGTTGGCTTTATTATCGCGGACTACTGGTACTTAGCCATGAAAGAGACAGCACTGGCCGAGAAGTTGCAAATAGTGAGTTATCTTGCGGTGTTTTTTCCAATGTCTCGGTATTGATGCAATCAATCTCATTTTCAGGGCGGAGGGGCTGTACTATTCGCAGCATGTCTCGGTGGATGGTATCTACTCTTTTCTTTGTTGCTTGAAGCCGTGGACTTTCCTCTGCGGCTTCCCGTGGGTGACCTCTCTAGCCATGTCCCGGGATTATCGCAACTTAAGATGTGAGGTTGTTGACAGTTCTACCTGATATACCCTGTTCGCGCGTGCGTACAAGAGGTTCGAAATGCGGGTTGATTGGTCACGCAAAATCGAACGTAAGAGATGGATATTCAGTGAAAGACCAATGTCAAATAATGCAAAGGTGCCTTGGATGTTATAGTTTTGGTTTTGTTTACTCAATTTCCTTTTCAATGACAAAAAAAGCCGGTTACCATATATCGGTGCAATATTTGTACTATCCTATAGCACAGGTAGTACCTCGGACACAAACTGAAAGCCTTGCCGATTTTTCGCCAAGTCGCCTAATATTTCTGTAGAACGAAGTCATGTAATAGTTGAGACACGGCGTTGATTGGGTTACATCTTATCCTTTCATCCGTACTAAATCTAAATCTAAATCTAAAATCTGCGTTACGCTAAATTTTAATTGAGTAGCTTCTAGACCTTATGGTAAACCAAAGATATAGCCTCGCTGATCTCCGTATACCCAGCGGAGCCGACTGGGAATCCGGTCCCGATCGTGCGGAGCCGATTGGAGGTCGAAGCCAAATCTAAAAACCAAAGCGGACCCGACTGCCCTGAGGTACTCTCTCTATGCGAGAATTTCTACCCAACCACGAATGACCGGGAAGGGGGGTCGCAAATATACCATGCTCTTTTCTTTACGGATATATGTGTGAAACGAATCAAGCATACAAGCATACCAGAATAAGCATACATTGTGTAAAATTTTGTTATCATAATCCCATATCAAACGGATATACGAGATTCAAAAGAGCTGATCTTGGCTTGTCAAGAAATTAGTTCGGGGTTCGGCACTTATTCAACGATTCAGATAGTACTATGGAAATAGCCTCAGCCATCTCCGACTTAGCACCCAGGAACCGGAGTGCTGTAACACAATTCTCGAGTCGTGTAAAGCTAACCTGAAGCGCTATGCTCTCATGATCAAAGACGAAACGTTGGTACTTCTGTAGCTTTTCCGTTTCCTTTAAATGAAATATTGAAGCTTTTGTAAATGCCCTAACGAGAAGCACCGTCCAGGGTTCAGTCAAAAGTGGGCTTTCATTGACGGCGAAGTGAAACCCCGGCAGTTGGTTTAAACCGATTCCCCCCAAAGGCCGAGGTGTCAGGACAGCTGCAAGGTCTGCCATGTCGATTGAGGTTTCTTTCCGGATTTTCATTACCATGCAGGTGTTTTGACGCTCTACCATGGCGTCATTGCAACCAAGTCTGTTCATATCCACGAACTCGATCAGGTCGGCCAGCATGAGTGAACCAAGATGCCAGGGGATACCAATACACGGAAACCAGCTCTTAATCCGCGGAGGGACTGAATCGTAGTGCCGCACTAGGTCACGGAATAAAGCCCCGTGCGTCTTCACCCAGTAGCGATACACACGTATCGTGCGTTGAATAATCTCTTCCACGATTTGGTTGCACTCAGCATTTCTCAAAGAGTTCTGAAGATATGAGATGTAGCGGAAGAGAAGCACCTTGACAGCTGCTGACCTGGAAACGGCTCTAGTCACAACCTCGTACGGGCAAGGCCAACGCAGGGCTAATGCCTTCTCCGTATCCTCTTGGGCGTAGAGGTCAAGTTCCCATCGACTACTAGAGATTGGGTTCTGGATATGATTTTGCACTGCTTTCTGTGCAGCTTCGTGTTGACATTCTTCATCAGAAACAACGACTGGCCGCTCATTCATGGATGAAGAGACCGTGTCAAACATGATTGCGAGCCAGTACAAGAGACCGACCGTCCGGGCCTCTTCCGTGCTGAACCCTCGAGAGACTTGCTCCTCTATTTTGGTGCTGTGGTTGTGGACAGAACCTTGAAAGCCTGTCTGGCGCGCTTTGAATCGGTATTTGAGCGCGTGGATTTTGCGAACCCCTCGCTCCATAAATACGGGCGGTCCCTCCCGATCAATGATTTTCATGACCCGTGACAACGTTGAACACTTCAAACTGTTGTTCTGATCCGCAGTGCTTTGCCTCTCTGTGCACGCATCATAAGAGTTGTTTGACGACGGCTTCTGTATAAGACCGAAAATCAGCTCAGCGAAAACCACCCTAAAACACTCCACCTGGGAGACATCTTGAAGCGCCTGGTTTGCACATTCCCAAACGGATCGATGTAGAGTTTGCCCAAACTCATCGTGCAGCCCTTCATCTTCATGCCTATTTACCAGCCAATGACCATCCCAGCGCCGTCCCCCCTGTGCCCACTGCGTAGCAAATGTCATGATAGATAACTCGAGGGCCTTAGAAGCTGCTCGATTTTCAGATACAGTGAGATGAATCAGCTTTGTCAACCGAGCGGATCGGTCAAGCTGTTTGATACGATGGTACATGCGGTTTGACCATGATACGCCCCATTCAGGCGTTATTTGCCCTCCTAAAACCGGACTTTGGTGAACGGAGAGGTGCTCGTGCCACCTCGGACCCATCTTGTATGGGCATGTATCTTCTGCCAGCCAGCAACTGAGGTTGTTCTCTAGAACATCATGGTAAATTTGCAGAAGGCTCTCAGATATGAGTAATCGGTTGGAATTTTCCATAGCAATATGGCCTGCACCAAATAAAGACAGTGGCATGACAAAGTAGTCTTGCGAGTTGCTGAAATATTTCCATTTTTTGTGGTTTCTCGACAGTTCGCTTTGGCCCCTCTCACACGCTGAAGATATGGAGTAAGCCGGATTAGGACTGTACGAAGACGCTTGAGAGGTATCAGGAATAAGGCTTTGTGAATTAAAGTCCGAGTAGTGAGAGTCGTTAGAGGCAGAATCGGCCATTTCTAAATCCATGAGGCTATCCAAACCGTTATCTTCGGTCTGGTCCACGTGCTTGTTGTCAGATACAGCTATGCCGTTTACTTGTCCTGAGTCCCCTGGGTGCAAACAATTCTCATATCCCGCAAGAGCCTCCACGATGTTTGAATGGCCAATGAAACGAGGGGCAACAGGCGTGGACAGCGCGTCCCAACCAGCCAGGCTATTTTCTGGGAGAGGCGCATGTAAAGTCTCTTTGGATGAATTTTGGCAAGTCACCATACAAATGGGTGTTACTGACGCCTCGATCTCATTCTCTGGTGGCTGGATTCGCTGCCTTTTGTCCTGGTGTCGTTCATCATCCAGTCCAATGTTTTCAGAGCGCGAAAGGCCCTGCCCGTTCGTTGGACGATGACCTTGGCCCCAGTGAGGGTTCAGACCGCAGATTTTGTTTGTCCTGATGCAGTACGAACATGGAGAGACTAGGCCTAAATCTTTGAGGTGAATATTTCTTAGCCAGCCGTTCATATTTGCGTGAGAACACTATAAGGGATGGGTGGGTGGCAGGGAGGAGGTTGTCGGGGGAGCGTGAAACGCACCATCCTGCATTCCGAGATTAAGCAATTCAGCTTCCATGAATACGGCATCGCCACTATTTCGGAGGTAGCCATCACAGGCTTTCTTGGATTTCTTGCACTGCTCGCAGGAGTGATTTTGACGTCTCTTCGCCATGGCTGGATAGAAAGGAGTTTACAGTAAAAGGACGACTCTTTCGGGCACCCAGCGAACTATCCCTCGAGTTGGACTAAGCAATATGTTTAAAGGCAACGAGGGGCCCGTCTAAGATGTTGAAAAGGGCCTGGCTCTCAGCACAAGGGATCTAAGCCTAATTCACCCCGAGTCCGTGCACACTGTGTTGTGCGGGGTTGCGGGGGCTCGTCCCAGTCTAGGAGCCTAAGGCCCATAGACACAAGGAATAGCTCCCATCCATGGGCCTTGTCGCAGTCTATATACGATCTTATTCTGGTTGGTATATTAGTAGTCATACAATTCTTACCATGTAATTTAGCGGGTTCGAAGAAAGAGATAAGGTATATAGTATAGAATTAGTATAGAATTAGTATAGAATTAGTATAGAATTAGTATAGAATTAGTATAGAATTAGTATAGAATTAGTATAGAATTAGTATAGAATTAGTATAGAATTAGTATTAAATTACTAATGCCTCGAAAGGAAACCCTATCCTAATACCGGAATATATTATATATCTTTACCTACTTCATTATTTTATTAAAAAAAACCTAGCATGACAGGACTCATACCCCACCATTCATTCCTGTAGCTTGATGAATGAACCCACCACTGTCCGCCATTCTCCATTCTTTTCACTGGATTTCACTGGAAAACACAGTTTCTTTATAAATTTCTTCCTCTCTTCTCGATTTCCAGTCTATGAACCACGCAATCCGTTTACAACGTCGCCCTTTATACTTTGTGGACCTATTGGGGGGTCAGATGACCCCCCAAACCGATTCAGATAGTTTGGCGTCAGCCTCACTCCCTTCCTCTTTCCCTCCTTTCTCATCGTCCGGTTTTTTTTTTCTTTTTTACAGAGATCTCAATTCATGCAAATTTCTCTGCCTTTTGCTCTTTATCTATAGCTACTAGAGAATCTAATTGTCTCCGCAGGTTTATGTTCCGTTGAGATACCTCACTAGCATAATGACGGCAACACTACCTCCGGAACTGTTATTCCAGATCGCCACTCTTCTGTAAAATGCTGAAAATTCTCTAGTTCTATGCACCAGTGTTTGTCGCCTACCAATGCAAATTTGACGAGATTGAAAATTGGGAAGACGTGATATGCGATGTCGAAGCGGGATGGGGCTGGCCGGATTTTGGGTCGTGCGGAAGCTTAAGGATATTAGGATAGATAGTATTAGCGATATAGAACTACTAGCTCACCGGCGTGTGTCAAGTACGGCTGAGCGGACGGGAAGCCCTGTTTTCCACACCCTTTGTGGCTGTATGTACGATGTTACGTGTGGGAGAAGATGACAGAACATGAGGTTAGTGGTATGATACTAAGTGCTGTCCTAATTTAGTTTAATGTTCTCCTAAGCCATTGGGCTATTGATGAATAATATGACAGATTCCACAAATCATATATAAGGAAGCCAAAGACCCTCTGAAGCGCTCTATCACTCTTTGGGAGTCTGTCCATGATCCTATCCTTATGAGTGTCCATTCAATTCACATATATAGAAGTTAGATACAAACTCCGATGCAACTCATCCATATCCACAGCCCTCATACCCACCTTTCCTTATCTCCATGATGGCTTAGGAGTAGGCCACTGGTCTCCGCATCCAGACGCTCAATCACCTGGAGGCACTTTCTAACACTCTCCTCGGGCTGAATCTGCCCCTTGAGATTAGGCTCGACTGCCTGAAACTGCTTCAGCATGACCTCGAGCCCTTGCACTACCGGGGGAGGTTTCTCTCCTACGATGATATTAGTGTCCATGATTGCCTTGTTGTGAAAAAAAGGCCACTCACCCTCCCATGTATCAACCCATCCAGGGCTTAAAGCCAACACCTTGATGCCCCTAGGTGCAAGTTCTGCTGCGTACTTGGCGACTTGGACATTCATCCCGGCTTTTGCGACAGAGTACGCGACAGCATAGCTAACACCACTCTTTTTGATTAAATCCAAATCTGCCATGGCGCTGGAGATGTGCACAATCTTCTTCTGGATACCCTCCTCAATCAAAGGTAGGAAGGCGTTTGTCGTCCATATACCGCCATAAATAGCCGTACTAAATGGGAGGTCGAAAATTGCTCGAGTGGCTTGAGCATCAAAGGGAATCTGAGTCGGGTTGGAGGACATGGTGGTCATATCAACGGCGTTGGAGTTGTGGATAAGCACATCTAGTTTACCACCTGTGACGGCGGCTGCGGCCGAGGCAGCCTCAAGAATGGACTTTGGGTCTGTAACATCGCCTTTTATAACGTGCACGTTCGGATGATTGAAGGCGAGCTCAGATATTTCGGGCGATTCGGGGTCTCGCACAATAGCCAGGACCGTGTTGGTCGTATCAGCAGCGAGTTGGCGCACGAACTCGCGGCCAATGCCTTTGGAGGCTCCGGTGATGGCGTATGAAGACATTTTTGATTTTTATTCAAAGTAAATATATATATATTTCAGTGATGAATGTGTTGATTTATTGCTGATACCATTGCGACATTCGTTCGATGTATTTCCCTTTTATATAGTTGACTGTACTTCGGCGGATTACAAACCGTTCCGACCGGATGGTCCGGTTTTCCCGGTCCAACTGCACCGGCCAAGGGTCAACCGGTCGTTCCGTTTCCTGCCCCGTTCCTTATGCGACATCATGAATGCCACAATAGCTACAGTCAAGAGAAGGGCATGCGTGGCGTGCACGACTGCCAAGGCCAAATGCACGCCACAGGCCGTCAACCTGTGCCAGCGGTGCGCCCGTTTGGGAAAGTCATGCACGTACCTTGACCTTCCGCAGACCAAGCGGAAGCATAAGGCTGCACCGAGGTAATTCCCCCAAACACACATGGTACTTGTGGTATTAATTATAAATGTAGCCGTGTGGAGGTGCTAGAAAAGAAGGTCGACCAGCTGACGTCGCAGTTGGCTGCCTTAACCCGACAGAACGGGCGGTCTTCGCCCGATACTTCTAATCCGCTCACCAACAACTTGGGCTCATCTCGTGACCCCGAGCTGGATTCGACAAACATTGCCGCGCTGCTAGAGGTTGCCCAAGACCCGTCCCACGGCCTCGATCCGCCGACCAGCTCCATTCTAGAGGGCCAGCCGTCTATCGTAGATCAAGGGTTTTTGAGTGAAGCCGAAGCTGAACGCTTGGTTGCGACTTTCCAGACTGACTTAGTGTCCACGTTTCCCTTTGTATTGCTTGCGAACGGCGAGACAGCCACTCGCCTTAGGGACCGAGAGCCTTTTCTATTTTTGTGCATTTTGGCCGCGACCATGGGTAGTGCGCATCCTCTGCGCAAAATTGTTACCGAGGAGATTATGAGGCATGTTACGTTGAGGGTTGTGGCACGGTCCGAAAGGAATCTCGAGTTGCTCCGTGGTCTGTTGGTTCACATCGCATGGTACTCATATCCTGCAGAGAGATACCACCCGCAACTTTTGCTGTTGATTCAGCTTTGTGTTTCTATCTTGTATGATTTGGGACTTCACAGAAAGTCTAGTCCGAATTTGGATGAGCAGCGGGCGCTGCTTGGTACGTATTGGCTGTCGGTTGGGTGAGGTTGTCTGCCCTGATAGATGTGGCTTCGGCTAAATATATATTAGTTTATGTGGCACACTTGGCCGGCCGATTATCATGAAGCATGATGTTCGAACCGATGAGTGCATTGAGAGTATAGCATCTACCAGGCATCTGTCAGATCGGTGGATTGCGCCATTTATCCATCTACAGTCGTTCTTGGCAACGGTGGATGAAGTTTACGCTTCAATGCAGCCAAGCGGTGGAAGTGTGCTCGTTCAAGTTACGCGCGGCTCTCTGAGGCGGAAATTTGATAGCGTGAGGGTATGTGTAGAAAAAGATATCTCAAGCTGCCCTTCATCAACAGGTGTGTCTTGGACCCAAAGTGGCTGGTGGAGCTTGACTGACCGTTGCAGCGAATGCAATACGCACTGAGATACAATACGTGGAGATGCGGCTCGAGGAATTATCTCTTCGGGGCGAACTGTGGATTGCGGAGCCTGCCAGCGCAGTCCGGACAACTATGCTGATGGGTATAATCCAGCGAAGCAAGGAACTCATTCACATGGTCAGAAACCTACCAGTGTCGGAGATTTCCCAGATGACAATCTCAACAAGTGCTCGTATATGTGCCGCTGTGGGCTACATGCCCACTGCAGTATTGACCCTTCTCAATCTCATTACTGGCCCTACCGACTCTTCCATGGAAGCCCAGGTGCAAGCCGTTGTTGACGCAGCAGAGTATCCCAATGTTGTCATAAAGCTTGCCAACGCGCTGGAGACGAAATGTGAAGGACTGTCTGCTGCAGACAAAGAGACGGACATTGTGGGGAGCCTTTGCTCTAAGATGCGGCTGCTAGCACGTTGTTATCCATATCAAATCAGGGCAATTGTTGGAAGTGCGCTGTCCCAAGACGTAAGCCAGGATACGTCTATGACAGCCGTTCACACCGATGAGGTTGCTGTGACACCCCAGCTCTGGCCGGATGGGTCTACCTACGGCGATCTGGGCGACATGCTCCCTGTCGACGACATCCAGTGGGATTCTCTATTGAGTGATTTTACTGGTTTTAGCTAGCATAGTTGATATCCAAGGATGTGGCTTTGTGAAATATGTCACAAGACAGTCGATACAGCAGATGATCAAGGTTCCCACAAACACGCCTAGTTCATATTGCATAGAATTATTCCAGTGAATCGTTAATATACATCGTGTGAGGCACAACACAACGCCCAGGTATAACGGCCTTAAAGCGTGGTCTTTCAGTCAAGTCTATCTTTGATAAGAAGCTGTATAGAAATAGTGTTCTGATTGGTAAACTTGGGGAATTCATACTTGTAAGTTCCGGTCAAAGAATTAGGTAAAAATATTGGAAGTCTCCGACGGGTGGAACGGATTCTTTGCAATTTGTGGGGGGGGGGGGGGAATTTCCGGTTGAAAATGGCGGATACTTATCTCCGCTCCTATACACCACATATGACGGACGCCATCCCAACTAACCAATAATATTAGGGCTCAGACTCTAAGACCGATCTCATGGTGTTATCTGATACGAGATTGAGCATACCAAGGAGGGGAAATATGAGAATGAAAAAAAGCAAAGATGAAAAGTATATACACAAAGACGAAGAAGGATGACTCCGAAGGCGGGCATAAGTTAACATCAAACACCTTGACAGCCAATATTCATCACTAGAGATCGGGAATCGTAGTTTCATAATCCAACACAGCGGGGTGCTTGACCTCGCCGACGGCCAACTTGTTCCAATCCTCTTCAAACCCCTCCTCGACATCAGGGAAAGGACCCATAGGCGTGACTGCCTTTGGATTGATATCCCCATGACTCTTTGTATACTGTATCAAGTCAGTTGGGATCAATGTCAATTACTATCAAATAGGTATGTCAACATACGTTTTCTTTGATATGTAGAAAGTTTGTCGAGTCCCTCGCCGCTTTAACATTCCAATACATGCCCTTGAGCCAGTTATTCAAAACCGGATAATCATGTCGGATGGTGCCTAGGTTGCACTTGAAATGTTGCACGTACACCGTGTCAAAACGGATCAATGTTGCATACAACCGGATATCCAGCTCAGTTAAATCCCGACCGAGCACAAATGGGCCACCATTGTTTGCAATAATCTTCTCGAGTTTGTTCAAGGCCCCGAATACAGGAATGACATTTTTGTCGTAATCTTCCTGCGAGGATGCAAAGCCTGCTTTATATACTCCAGCATTGACATCAGATTGCAGCCATGGGGTGACTGCGCCGATTTTATCTCGCAGATGTATCGGGTAGAGGTCAATTGTAGCGAGCGATGGTGGGAGTAGCTCATTGAACGCCGTGGGGAGCCATCGAAGAAGTTCAGCACTTTCCTAACGACGATATCCGATCAGTACAGATTTACTGGCCCAGACTTCGCCAAGTGTTATACATTGCAAACCGCCGTTCCCGTCTTCTTATCCCACAGCAACGGTACCGAATACCGTCCCTTGTAATCCGGATCGGCTCGGAAATAGATTTTGTGCATGTAGTCTTCACCAAACAGGTGATCAACTGTCGCACCAGGATACTCATCATCAGAGGCTGGGAACCGCCATCCTGGCCAACCTTTGGCGTCACCCTTTGGGTACGGCTTGACAATGCTGATGTCAATGAATTCGGTCAAGCCTTTTAGATGACGGACAAAATTTACGCGATGGGCGAAGGGACAGAAGAGACCGATATAGAGGTGGTAACGGCCTTTCTCGGCGGGGAATTGCTCACTCGGGATGACGCCATGCCAGCCGTCAGCAGTTGCGGGGTCGTGGGTTGAGGTTTGGAATGTCATGGCTGTCGATATAACTGAGAAATTGGGTTCAAATGTCGGCACAGATAATTTGGGAAGTGTTAAGTTGTCTAGGTATGAATGTTCAGTTCAGTTCAGGTCTTTGGTAACGTGCGGAAGCGTTCCGCTAATGTGACACCATCGCCAAGATTTACGAGGGATCACCAAATGTCATTTGGATATAGTTTTTGCTCACGTGTCTCGGTTTTATAAAACTACACATTACCCATCACGATCAAACTTGGCCCTTTTGCCCGTTCTCAAACTCTCATGCAATCTGCAACTATTGGCCAACCTCGGAGAACTTGCCTAGCTGCCGAATCTTTGCGTTTCGGGTGCCCTAGTTAGGTGAGATGCAGGTTTAGATTGAGCCTTAGAGCCAATCAAATCCCATAAGAGGGGTTTCGGCCGACGATCCATTTTTCCAGATAACTGTTTCATCTTGTTGTATGTGCAATTAGTATATTCTTTGAGATTCTTCATAAGTCAAAATAAGAATAGTCGGCCACTTATGCGGTTTTGTCATATCTTTTTAGATGTGTATACCAAGGCGGTAAAAAAAAAAAAGTATACTTTGTGCAACAGATTTTGATATAGATTTAGCCTCAGAGAGGTGGTTATAGGGATATTGAATTCATTCAGTGATCCTTACAGAATATTCCTTCTCGGAGCCTTCCGGTGGCTTTGTATGATACATATTAGGAGTTAAGGGGCCTTTTGGCAAAGGTGCCTTAAGTTTAAAAGTAATACAAAGCTCTAGAAAATAGTTATATCTTGGACCTATAATACATTTTATTTTGATATATGTTTTCAAAAGGGCAGGAGATCACGCTAAGAAGAATGGGTCTGGATGGGGGCAATAATGGAGACAGCCTATAGAAGAGGGAAGTGGAAGATAAGAGGGTGTATACATTTACAAAGTACAACAACAGCTAAAAACTAAGCAACGCCACATAATAAATGATAATGTTTCTTCCAATTACCCAATGCCTCCAAGGCTTATCAAGTCCCTAGGCGCTTCTCTCCCCGCAAAGAAGCTGGTTGGCAGCCGGGCCCCACAGTCATCGCGCAGACCTTCTCAATTAGGAAGTCAAGAACATTTATCTTATCACATTGTCGGTTTGGTTACTCTGGGGTTATGACAAAAAGTATGGGGTGTGATCTGGGTGTTCCTGGATGTTCCTCGTTGATAAGTTGTCTCAACCCCCCTTTGCTGGGCTTCATTCTAGCTTATTGTTTTTGCCACTCGCAGTCATGTCAATTGAAGACGAGAATCAAAAAGTGTTTCAAGGCACACCGAGTGAAGATGTTCGTCTGGAGAATTTGGGATATGAGCAGGGTATGTCTAAAGAGGAGAGATACTTTGTGTTGCGAGGCTAACCAGCGCAGAGCTCAAACGCTCTTTCGGTTTGGTGGGGATGATTGGCTTTAGTTTCAGTGTTGTAACATCGTGAGTTCATCGCTCATGACCTAGCATAAGTTTACACTAATCGATTCCTAGATGGACGGCACTGAGTGGTGTGTTCATCGTTGGAGTAACCTCCGGCGGTCCTCCGGTTATGGTCTTCAGTTTTCTCGGCGTTAGTCTGTTGACTCTAGCCGTCGCAATCCCTATGGCAGAGATGTGTTCGATGTATCCGGTAGCAGGTGGTCAATATTCCTGGGTTGCGGCACTCGCTCCACCGAAAATCGCTCGAGGCCTTTCGTACGTGACAGGATGGTTCATGCTAATCGGTAAGCTTGTTTCTTAAGGTGCGCCAACACCTACCTATGGGTACTGATTTGGAAATAGGTCTCTTGGCTATGGGTGCTACGAACAACTCAATTGCGTCCAACTTCGTCTTGGGGATGGCAAACCTCGTGTTCCCCGAATTCGAGATTCAAAGATGGCAAACCGTGCTTGTTGCCTACCTTGTCGCATTCCTCTCTGCCGCTGTCAACCTCTGGGGCTCACACTTCTTGCATCGGATCTCGAAAGCAATTCTTATCTGGAACGTCGCCTCCTTCGTCATCGTCACTGCCACAATTCTTGCCATGAACGACCACAAGCAGCCCGCTTCTTTCGTATTCCAGGATTTCCAAAACGGAACTGGCTTTAGCACTGGAATGGCTGCGATTATCGGTGTTCTCCAAGCTTGCTTTGGCATGTGTTGTTATGATGCCCCTTCTCATATGACCGAGGAGATGAAGTCCGCGTCGAAAGAGGCACCCAAGGCTATCGTTCTCGCTGTTATTCTGGGTGCCGTGACTGGATTCGCTTTCCTAGTGACTCTTTGCTTCTGTATTGGCGATATTGAGGCCACTGCCAACACAAGCACCGGGGTGCCTGTGATTCAAATTATTTACGACTCCACTGGAAGTAAGGTGGCTACTTGTATTCTGTCGAGTTTGATCTCTGTGATTGTGATCGTCGCAGGAAACAACATTCTTGCCGAAGGCTCGCGATCCGTCTACGCATTTGCCAGAGATAATGGCTTGCCATTCTCCAAGTTCTTCAGCAAGGTGGAGAGCAAAACCCACGTGCCTGTCAACGCCGTGCTTCTCACTCTCGTTGTACAACTTGCTCTCGATGCCATCGAATTCGGTACTACCACTGGCTTCGAGACAGTCATCGCCATCTCAACTGAAGGCTTCTGTAAGTTTGATTCCCTGCATTCGATGCTTTCTTTATTAATAAAAAAAATTCACAGACTTGTCATACGCAATGGCCCTTTTCAGCCGCCTAGCTGGCTACTATACCGGTCATGTAACCAAGCTCGACGGTCCATACTCATTCTCTGTCCCGGTCTCCATTGCGCTTAATATCATCGGACTCCTCTTTCTTCTCTTCGCAGCAATCACCTTCAACTTCCCCAGCGAAAATCCGGTTACTCACGAATCAATGAACTATACTAGCGCCGCAATTGGTGTTGTTGCTCTCATCAGCGGTATCACTTGGATCACAACAGGTCGCAAGCAATTCTCGGGACCTGGTGCAGTGAGTTTCTTGAATGGTAAGAACACTGCGACACAAAATGTGGTGGGAGCGGATGCGGAGTGTGAGGATGAGAAGAAAACTTGATGTCAATATTGTTATACCACATGTATTTATATTTATAATATCTTTTCAAGAAGGTGACTGTGCGATATAGGAATGCACTCCTTGTAACATAAATATATATTGTAAAACCCCAAAGACAAATTGAAGTAGTAAAACATAACCCCAACCTGACCATATAGAAGATGAAATAGGATCAAAACAATGGAAGGCAATGATATGCAGAAGGTTAATATAGAAAGCAATCGTGTCACGGTGAATTAAGGTCAGGGTCACCCTAGTCAGAAGGGTGAGAATCACCGTAAGTTGACAGAAAAGGTCCACTTCTGCCAATGGAGACGGAAGATTGGAGAAGTTATCGAAACAAAATCTACAATAGCATCAATACAATGATGATAACACTTTCTTTCACAATATCCCTTAGATTTTAAGCAACGTTGTCGTAGTGTGGCTTAGCTACGGTCAGGCCGGGCCGGGACCAGAATTGTATACTCTTCAACATTGGACTATAGGATAGGTTTTGGCGCTCTTGGCTTCGAAACGAAACAAATGTGATATGTAAAGAGGTGATGGGGCTCTCCTTGCTGAAATTCGTCTGACGTAATATGAAATGCGGGGGGCCAGGGGTTTATTGGGCTTGAGGCTCAAGTTCTGTAAAGTTGAAAACTCCAAAGGTCCAGATGGCTCGGATTCCTGATATAGTTCGCGATTTTGAGCTAGAAACGCGCTTTCTGCCTGGTTGCAGTGATACCATTCATACCTACCATGAATCCGACCTGGCTTCTGGACGCCGGCTTGTGGTTCGAGCGGAACACTGGCAACGGCAACGGGAGATTGGAAGCGGTACATATGGAAACGTATGGCTTGAGAGATGCATCGAAGGGGGTCGTTCCGGCGTGAAAGTTCGAGCAGTCAAGCAGCTTCCAACGGCTTATAGTGATATCAACTATCATCGTGAGTTGGAAGCTATAACTAGGTTTTCACATCCAAAAGTATCTCCCCCAGACTCTGAAAGAAATTTTCAAAATTGGGTCTAAAGATATATAGTATGAACGATGTTTTACCACGTCTTTCGGGTGGTTTAAAAGCCCTACCTATCTCTTTATCGCTATGGAATATCTTGAACATGGAGATCTGCTGGTCTATTTAAATAACAGACCGCCACTTCCAGAAACCGAGGCAAAAGTGATTGCTTTTCAGATTTTGGAAGGACTCACTATGATGCATGGCAATGAGTTTGTTCATGGAGATTTGAAACCAAACGTAAGTACTCGCCGATACCTCTTTCTACAGGAAAGGTTTTCTCCCTCTTCTCTTCTGACATTCATGTCCTAGAATATCCTGATCAAGTCATACCCACCAAACATGTGGTGGGTCAAACTCTCGGACTTTGGGTTAAGTAAGCGTGTCGAAGAAGCATCGGGAGCTTCTACTCTAAAGGGTACACCTGGGTATATAGCTCCAGAGCTCTATAAGTTCACCGAGCGGGGGACTGCTTATGCTCCTGACATTTGGGCTGTTGGTGCGATGCTGTTTTTCATGCTTCTCAAAAGACCTGCCTTCGAGGTCTTGGGGCATCTTTTCGAATATGCGACAAGAACCGAGGATTTTCCAACTCAGTTGCTTGCTGAGGTTGGCACAACTGATCTCAGCATTGAATTTATATCCTCGCTGATGCGTGCGAGACCGAAGGACAGGCCCTCGGCTGATATGGCAATATTGCATGAATGCCTCAGACCGATGTACGATCATCTTTCGAGCTCGCAGATGCCCGGCTTTACACAGCCAAGCCCTCAGTCGCCAATTGAACAAATGGCTGAAGATTTTGAGTCGGAATTTGGGTCGTGGGATACAGGACCTTTGCTTACGCTGGGTGACTCCCTTCATCAAAAACCCAATGATCAGCCGAGTGCTCTAACTACGGAAAGCTGGGATGTTGCAGTGCACCGTCAGACAATTAGTGGTTGCGGCGGCGTGGTCCGACCGATGAACAAATTTATTCACCGAGGCTTCGCAGGGAAAATTTCATTTTCAGCCGACAGCAGAGTTTTTGCTATGGCCGGGAACAAGGGGATTATCAGACTCTGGAATACCTCATCATATTCCCAGCTACCTGGGTTAAAGGGGAAACTGTGTATTGCCTTCTCGCCGGACGGAAAATTGATCGCAACATGTGGAATTTTTACCTACATACAGCTGTGGGATGCCGTCACCTTCACAGAGGTCGGGCATACCAACCTCTCCGATTACCCTCATACTGTCGTGTTCTCTCCAGACAGCAGGATGATCGCCTATGCGATCAATCACAAAGTAGTTGTGCAAGAGGTCTCCGGGGGATCGAAACGTCGCATAGCCAATTGCAACTTTGGTTTTCGAGATAAAGACTCACCAAGCTATCTCAGCTTCTCTCCTGATTCAAAGTCTGTCTGGTTTGCGTGTTTGTACAAATACCAGATGCTAGATATTGACCAGGATCTCACCAGCCGTACTTTCAGGCTACCTGTTCTGGGCAAAACCATAGGTCTGTCCACCGACGGGAAATATTTGGCATATCTAGATAATGCGAAAAAAGCGCATATCTGTATACTGGAACTTTCTACGAAAGATGTTGTGCTGAAGATCGAGACCGGCACACAGAACCCCACGGGCTTGGCCTTCTCCCCTAACAGCAAACTACTTGCAGTATCTCTCAGTCACTCTTTTTCACTTGGCAATCTCAGTTTGTGGGACATTGAAACAGCAAAGAAACTCTCAGAGATTGTACCCAATGATCGGATCCGATCATTGGCCTTCTCGCCTGATGGTACTATGCTCGCATCGACGAATAGTAATGGCTCTACTACGCTTTGGGGTGCTGATACAAGAAACTAGCATGAGTATTAATGTGTAGTTTTGGGGTATTTCGGATAGATGAGAATGACTGGAGTTTGGAGCTTGGGCACCTAAGATAGTAGCAATCTACTAGTTAGACCAAATGCTAAATAGGCATTCCCTTCGTAAGCAGTAGCTATACCATACAACTTTTTGGAATTTCATACTCTGCATAGAATTAACATCTACGGCCATAGATTTCATTGCTCTCAATCAATCAGGCACCTTGACGTCTCCATTCTCAAGACCTCTCTCTATTAACAAAGCACAACCAAAAACCTCTACCCTCATAAAGGTGGCACTTTATAATCTTGCATTTAGTAACATTTACTAGGTTTTATAGGTTAAGATTATGCAAATATGTTAAATATGTACAACATAGATTCATATAAAACCATCAGTTTTCATTTCCATCCATTTCCATCCATGTTATATTTTAGTTTATTAAACTTACTCCATACGACTCCATCTATGGATTAAAAAAAAGTGGACCTGCGCGGGATTGAACCACGAATCTCCGAGGAACAGGCATGAAAACTCCCAGGAGGGATGTTTACATAAGCTCGGCGCCTTAACCATTGGGCCACAGGTCCTATGTCGCAACTCCGTCGATGACGACCCACATTATATGATTTCCTTCTCACAGTGCCTGGTCTCAACGTAAAGCCTGTCTCAGCTTGGGGCACCTGATTAGATGTGCAAGTACCACTATCCTCGCCTCTGTTCAAACCACATCAGTCTAATGAATGAAGAATTCGACTCCAGGACACCAGAACATTGCATTATTTAAAAGTCATGGAGGAGAAAATAAAATTAGATAAAGTAAAATTCGGTTGATCTAAGTGGGTCACGTGTGGGGCTTAAACCCTACCCTACATACGGCATAGCTGAATCCCAAACAGGATCCAACAGAGCATCTTGCCACTTGGTATATTATTTTTATCACTTTTCTTAGGTTCTTGGAATTGGTTGTAACCTTGTCAATTATGCAGATACAATAAACTCGTCTTCAAGATGTACATCTCTGTGCATAGTTATCTTGGTCTTTATCAATATTAATCCCTAAAAATGACGCTTTGTACTCTTAATAATGCCTTGAATTAATTGATGTCATTTGATTTAGGTTAAAAGCATGGGTATGTGAAGTAGAAAACTCGATAGAACAGCAAACAGCTATCTATAAGTACCGTCCCTCGCCGAGGCAGTGAAGCAGTGTTAGGAGTCGCAAGACCGAAAACATAGTCATAATCCACAAAAATGCACCCAGCTACAAAACCATCCTTATAGCTCTTAGCAATCTCTACAACACTGTCAATCCATTGCTGACAGCGAGGGCTGGAATTCACGACCGGAAATGACATTTTGAATGGCTTCTTCGCCTGCTTGTTAGATTCCGAGTTGACCACGACTTCTTCACCCTGGAGGCGTTCAATCACCCTGTGCATGAAAACTGCATCGCAAAGGTAGCGGTCTCCATCGAAAAGCTTGACTGTGATCCACTGCAACCCTGGGCCTGATTGATAAGGCTCGAGGATGGCTCGACCATTCTCCCTGAATACGCCAGGTGCGTACGGCATGACGTGCGGCCTGGCTATGTAAATTGACGGCTTGGATGAGTTAAATGGCCAGATCGGATGAGTTTGTTGGTTTATGCTGTACGTGCGGCAGTGAAGCGTGCTGTGTGGTGGTAAGAACGGCCGTGTTTATATAGGTCGTTTTTAAGGCAAAGGACTATTTTCGAGTACTCAATTCGACCTGATTTGCTCTTATTGTGATAATTTCTTTCGTCTGGTGTTTCAATGGTTATTTATTATGGAACCAACAAAGAAACAGTACATAACTGTTTAGACGCTAGAGCCCTAGCAAAACAAACCCCAGTCCGACATGGAAGTGTAGCACCTCGGCTTTCCCAGGGAGTCCGAGCTTTTCAGGCAGATCTCTGACCTGTTCTTAACACCCCATAACCCAAACCGCCACCACAAACTGACCCACAAATGGTGAAATGGAATGCCCATGAAAATAGTCAGGTGAGGATGGGTCAGACTGAGATGTTTTAGCGGTGAGATGTAACCATATGCAGTCATTTAGCCGATTAGACTGTGGCGTTTCCCGTTAGTCTATAAGTGGGTTGAGACCAAGTCGTTTACATCCTGCCATGTCGTATCCGCCCCCTGTATGTTTTCTCTGAACCAATCATCACCATGAACCTGTCTTTCTCTTTATTTCTCCCTCTCCGGGGCCCCGCATCCAAATTTCACGGGGATTCCCCAGACATAGGGCCCCCCATACTTTGACCAGTCAAACGCCTAGGCTCACTGTATTTTAAACTTCCTCCGGCCTTCCCTCCCAAGCCGGTTACTCGCAAACGCCACCAACTCTCTGGTCAGCCGATTCCCAACGCCCTCGGCGATGGCTAACCTTTTCTAGTCGCAACTAAGCCTCCAACACATTAGGTTCGGCGCCTGCCCAGGTTCGGGTAAATTGCTTCTGTGACCGTGGTGCTCGGTTTCGGGAAATGGGTAAAACCCCGGCGGGACGAGGTTGCACCCCTGCTTGTCTATTCGATCGCTGACTTGTTTAACCAGGTCTCAGGTGGCATAATTAATCCACGTATCACGCGCATACCGTGCAGCTCAAGAGACGCGCATATGGATCAAAGAATATAAGACCCCCAGCTCATCCTTATTTTTCTTTTTCTCCGAGCTTTTGATTTCCATCCCCTTTTTGGCCTGGAGATAGCAAATATTTCCAAAAATGGCGTCGGATCTCGACAAAAGCGATGAAGTGCACGGCGAGAAGGCCGCCGTTGAGCAATCTGAGATCTTGGTCAAGTCGGATCTCATGAACGATGCCTTCGATGGCGAGAACCGCGAACATGAGATGTCTACGTGGGAGGCCATTAAGAGCCATCCCTGGGCTTGCTTATGGGCATTTACCATGTGCTTCACTATCGTGAGTTTTTTGTATTAATTTTTTTATTGATTTCCCCGCATTTCGGGTTCCCCAGATCCCCAGATCCCCCCATATCTCCAGATCTCAAGATCGTATCAGCTGATGTATCCCCAATCAGGTTATGGAGTCGTTCGATATGTTCCTGAATGGTAACTTTGTCGCGCTTACCGCTTTCAAAGATCATTATGGTGTCGACGTCGAGGGACACGGTAAAACTATCCCAACCAAATGGCAGAGCAGCCTCTTTCAGGCCGGCCAGTGCGGCGCTTTCGTCGGCGTTTTTTTAGCTGGTCCTATAACAAACAAGTTTGGATATCGCCTGGTGAGCCACAATACTCTAGTCGATAACCTTTCTTCGGGGCATTTCCTAACTTTCTTTAGACTACCATCTTCGCTTTGCTCCTCATGAACGCCACAATTTTTGTTTCCTTCTTTGTGAGCAAGCCACCCCCTTCCAATTGCTGAGCTCATTCCCTAACGCCGTTTAGGCCAATTCGCTCACCCTCCTTGTGGTCGGCCAAGCCTTAGAAGGTGTCCCTTGGGGATTCTTTATTGCAAACTCCCCTGCTTATGCCAGTGAGATTGTGCCTCTCTCCCTGAGAGGTGCCTGCACGGCTACTCTGCAAATGAGTTGGTCCATTGGTTCAATCATTGTCGCCGCCGCAACCTACGGCTACAATAAGCGCAATGATCAGTGGGCTTGGCGTGTGCCTCTTGCCTTGCAGTGGATTTTCCCTGTCAGTCCTCTCCTTTTGAAATCACGTGTTTACAGGCGCTGACTCCTTCTAGACCCCCCTTTTGGTCCTCCTCTTCTTCGCCCCCGAGTCACCTTGGTGGCTGATTCGCCGCGGACGCAAAGATGAAGCCCTTCGTTCCCTCAAGCGTCTTGGTAGTGACTCTCACGAGCATGCTCAGCAGAAACTCGCCATGATAGAGCGAACCGTTGAGATCGAAGCTCAAATGGGTGGTTCCCCAACTCTCCTTGACCTTCTCAAGGGAACCGATTTAAGACGAACAATCATTACCTGCTTGATTTACGCGTCACAGAACTTCGCCGGTAACTTGATTGCCAACCAGGCAACTTACTTCTTCGAGCGTGAGTGACTTCTTTCCCTCTCTGACCAAGTTTCAACCCGCAGTGGATGGCTGACTCCATATTAGAGGCCGGCATGGGTCCTGACCGTTCATTCCAACTTAATCTGATCAACTCGTGTCTTCAATTGGTTGCCAACATAATCTCTTTGCCTCTAGCCTCCTCATTTGGTCGCCGAACTATCTATCTCTGGGGCACAGCTACCAACATCACACTTCTTATGCTTCTCGGCGTCTGCGCCTCTATTCACCAGAATCATGCGACCAACTACGCGCAGGCCATTTTGGGAATCATCATCTCCTTCGTGTTTGCCGGCAGTCTCGGACCCATCTCATACACCATCATTGCCGAGACGTCATCCGTCCGTCTTCGCGCTTTGAGTACCGGTGTGGGTCGTGCCGCGTACTATGTCGCCGAGATCCCCATGATCTACCTTGCCTCACAAATGCTCAACCCTACTGGATGGAATCTCGCTGGAAAGTGTGGTTACGTCTGGGGAGGCACTGCTTGTGTCTGCTTTGTGTCGGCCTACTTCTTCCTTCCTGAGCTCAAGGGTCGCTCTTACCGTGAAAGTGATATCTTGTTCAATCGCAAGATTTCTGCTCGGAAATTCAAGTCGACCGTTATTGATGTTAGGGATAACGAATAAGGAATGGCGATATACGGGAATGAGATATGCTTTTGTTAGCTTCTGTGGCGTGTTAGCTCAGGAGAATTTTATTTTTGGAGACTATTAAGTCCTCGAGTACACGTTGCAAGCTTTCTCCTCAGTATATGTGCATAGCAGATACTTTTGCTGCACTTAACCTATACATAGGCCATTATTACAGGGGATACTAGCAAGTCTACCACTAGGAAGACATCACCATCATCACCATCATCATAATGTAAAATATATATGCACTTAATTTTAAACAGGTCAGACAGGAAATATGATTTTGACACTCAGTTCAGTTCAAGGCTTCGTGTTCACTCCGGTGCCACATCTTTAGCATGTTTTTGATAACCACGAGCTAGATCCTAGTATATAGTTTTCTAATATTGCAGTAATAGCCTCCTACTTATGAGCAAGATCCTTATCCAGTTTGGCGGGTACCTAGGAGGTGACATACAAAAGTACGTGTAGTAACCGAAGCGGCCATACCTATAGCTTAAAAGGTAATATTGGGTGGTCAATCAGAGTAGGTTCCATTTAGTATTTGCCACGTAGTTATAAAGTAGCGAATATATTACAATGAACCGTCGCATTGATCGTCGGTACATTTAGGGGGGGACAATCTAGAGGGGGACAATCTAGAGGGGTACAGGGCAGGGTTACACGTGGACGGAACTAGTGTGCTGTTCCTTATTGGGGTAGCTCCCAGATGCTTGTCTCTATTTACTGAACAAAATACGATGGGCATTACAGCGGAAATGAAGAGAAAATCAAAGGACCCGCAGAGGTTACCGGGTAGGTAGAAATAGTAAAAAATAGATGGTACAAGCAAAGACGAGCCACCCTTGTAGTTCAAACCCCGACGCTATCAAATCACATTAAAACATAGATCATAGATCCATAACATAATTGCGCGAAACCTCCACCCGCGGATAGGGATTATCCTGTTTTCTGATCTTCCACCAGTCCATAGATTGCGTCACTATGTAGGCAAGTAGAAGACTTGGTCATATTAGTTAATACGGTCTGATCACGCCGGACTCTTCGTCTCTGAGTCGGCAACATCATTTGGGGTCTTCTCAGATTGAGTGGAAGTTGACGTTGAGCTTTCCTTAGAGGGCTCGCCCGACAGCTTGGCCTCGGCGGCGGCCAACTTGGCAGTGGTTGTGTCCAAAGTTGTCTTCAAAGCTTTGATGTAATCAATGGCCATCTCGACGGCGGTGGCCTTGCTGATGGCCTGGTTGGCCTTTTCTTTCTCTTTTTCCTTCTCGTTGGCCTTGCCACCGGATTCTGCAGCTTCCTTGGCGTTGCGGGCATCAATGAACTCCTGCGGAATAAGAAGTTCAATCTCCTTGAGCGCATTGTTGATTCGATTCCGGCGTCCCTGCTCTGCAAGCTTGTGATTCGTCCGCTTAGAGCTTAGGTTCTCTGCCAGAGCCTCTGGGTAGCTCACACCCGATGGCAAAGTGCCGTCGAGGATGTGTTGGTAGTTGGACTTTGATGCGAGGTAAAGCGCATCTTGTGACATGCCTAGGATACGGTTAGTATGACAGTCATGGAATACAATTCGGATCAAGACTCACCCTCGCTACCTTTCATAAGTGGCTGGATGCTGGGACTAATCTTGGGCCGCAACTGTGGGCTGGCCTGGGTGGAACTCATACTAGGTCGTTTCCGACTAGACGCGGACCTGGAATCTTTTCGAGGGACCGGCCCACTAGGAGATGGCATTGCACTTGTGCGTGGACTGGGAGCAAGAGAAGCGCTGGGAGGTTTATCGTACGTCGCGGACAAAGGATCCAAGAAAGGTGTCCCATTCGAGGGGATCGACGGAGTCCGTACGGCTGTATCGATGCGGTTGGGTTTCGGACGCAGCTGCGAAGGAGCGGCCGCCTCTGGAAGTGATATATCTTCCATTATGTCATCTGGGAACTCGGCTGGAGGCTCTGCGAGCTGCGCTTGACCGCGGAACTGTCCTGCGGGGTCTTGCGAATGCTGATTCCGCTGGATGCGCATCAAAAGCGCAGGGGTGGCAGCAGTACCGGGCGAGGAAGATTTAACATGGGGAGCAATTGCAGGGGACATCCGAGGGGGAGGAAGAGCGGGAGGGGGCATCATCGGTTCTGATAATGGCTCGGGGGATACTGAGTCCTGGCCAGAACCCTCGTTGCTGCTGAGCTGAAGTGAGCGGATATCCTGGTTTTGCGGCTTTGTGGAGTTCATCTCCTGGGTAAGGCTATTGTAGAACTCCTCCGAATTGGTTGCCAAAGTGCTGCGTTTGCGCTGCGCCCGAATAATAGGTGATTGCTTGACCTTCCGTGTGTTATTGAGTCGGGTAGTGGCCGGTGATGGCCGGTGACGAGTGTTGGGCTTCCGAATGATGCTAGGAGAAGGTGGAGCCGAGGTTCCGGGGAGGGGGTTGACCTCCGCAGTAGTGGGAACGAAGCCCATATCCGATACCTGTCTTGCATGATACTGGTAACTGCTGGATTCGGCATTTTGGGCCTCCAGGGCGGGAGAGGTGAGAGGTGTGAAGTATTCGCCGGGGATTGTGTATTCGGGGAGTCGAAATTGGTTCTCCAGAGGCGTCATAGCCGGTGAGATAAGAGGAGTGTAGAGGGCCTTACTCGTTAGCCAGCAGATTCATCTTGGTATTTTTGTCTGAACTAACCTGTTCCTCGTTGATGCGTGAATAGCCATCGTACATATCCGGGGTTTCATCCACGCGCTGGGGGTATCGGGCAGTGTTGCCATGCATCTCAATACTGTTCGGGGTAGGAGGGACCATGTTGTGGCCCTGCATGTATTGTTGGTGCGAAGGCGGTTGCGACATGGGTGATTGCTGCGCGCAAAAGCCCGGGGTCATGTGGGGAGTTGAGTAAGGCATTGGGTGGCCTTGGGTGTGCGACTGTGTGTTATCATTGAAATCCATGAGGCCCTCCATCTGGCCCGAGTATTGCACGGCATGCGATCGTAGGTGAGCCATATCTGAGTCCGGGCCGGTGGTGGTCGGTAGGGAATGGGAATGTTGCATATTCCCTGGTCCGTGCTCGATTTCGGGAAAAGGCATGTTGAACTCGAACAAGTTGGAGAATTCTTCTTCACCAGGCGCAGTGATGAGATTATTCTCATGTAGCTGCTCCGGCCATGACATGGCTGGTTGTTCCATTTTGGTGTAAAAAGAGAGATATCCGGGTAGGCAGGCCAATGAGGCCAAGAAAGAAGGTGCTGAAGTAGAAACCTTCACAAGAGAAGATCGGAGAAAAGGAGAATCCGAGGAAATTCAAATGAGAGATGAAGTGGAGAATCAACTCGGGGCGGAGACAGTACTCCGTGGTCGGCAATGAGACCTTGCCACTGTGTTAGATCTTGAGACGGGGCGTTGCCTTTGCGCCCTTTTAGTCTTATTTCTGCGCTAGATGCGCGTGTGCTAATAGGTGCAGAGAACCTTGATTAAAAAAAAAGTACTAGCTTGATTACTACATAAGTACATATATGTACGGAGTATTCCGTGTAAGTATTTCGTAGTCCAATTTCCCTTCTTTAACCCACAGTGGAGATACGGAGTACGGAGGACGTTCCGGGGGACATTATATTGATAAATTGGTATATTGATTTTATATTTTATATTTTACATTTTATATCTAACTAATAACTACTAACTAATAATCTACATTTGAAGTCCATTAAATTATATATATATATATGCAAAGTAAATGTATTAAGCAACTTCCCAGTATAAATCCATGCATGGATGCCTCAGGCATGAATCAAGAGGGGTTTATCACCTCGTGATGTTGGCTTACCTGAGCAAGTGACATGACTGACCATGACATGATCACCTTTAAACTTCCGGTCCTAGAGAGCTTGACCTTTGTTGACTCTTTCAAGATTGTTCAGTATCTTTCCCATGGGAAATGCCTTCATAATGAGACCTATTCCGGACCTCCCATTCTCTCGCAAATCCTCCGACCATCCCTCCTCTCCATCCCTCGATCCCCGCACTGCCACCCCTGCGACTTTCTTCTTATCGCGCAGTCCAAATATCGCGGATCATGATTCCACTATATCGTTAGATAGCCCTGAAGACGTCAAAGAGAATGTGTATGGAGTACAAAGCCTAGATGCCTCTCTGTCCCAATCAGAATTCACATCCTTGCCCCGCGATCACTCTGCAGACAGCTTGAAGCAGGCAACCGACGATTTAGAATCCCACCTCGCACAGCGCCGGTCAACGCTGAAGCCGTTAAACTCAGACACCGGGGAATCCTCTGTACATGCATCTCCCATTCATGCAATGTCTCGGCCCTTGACTCCGCTTACATTGGGCATCCCCGATGACCCATCCTCACTGCCCAGCAGCCCTAAGTCTATATCCAACCAGTCCTTGCGGCCACTCGATGATATTTCTATCACGGATGAAATCAATAGTCAGGCGATCGGATCCGAAGATGAGGACGAAATGCTCCATGGGTCTCCATTTTTGGCTCCAGGTGGGGCCTCCCAGCTTATCATGCCAAGCATCAAAATGCCAAGTCGACGACCGTTTACTGAGCGAGGAAAAGCCATGGGCCGATTCAAGGTTCTTCTAGCTGGTGCTCCCGGTAGGTTGCAACACTTTCAGAGAAATTCACACAAGCTAATTGTTTCCAAAAAAAAATTTAGGTTCCGGTAAGACCTCATTGATCAAGTCTATTGTGCAGACATGCGACGATATCGTACATGTCGACACCATCCCGCAGGTGGCCTCTTTGGGACGCCGCAGACTTTCCCGGCCCCGATCTCGGGGGACATTGACTGCTACCGCAGAAATTTATGCTAGCACCAAACCTTATCCGTCATGGTGGTCGGATCTGGAAGATTCGCGCGTGCTCCAGCGTCGAAAGAGCATCGGGGAAATTGTACTAGAGAGGAACCTCTGTTTCGTGGACACACCTGCAACAAACTTAAGCCGGGCAGGCCAAAGCGACGCTATCGAGCAGTACATGAGACAACAATTCTTCCGTGCCACCAATGCACTCAGTGGGTCTAGTGTTGATTTCCAAAACTTATTAGCCGGGAATGGTGGATCCCAGGTGGATGCCATCTTATATTTGATTTCTAGAGGTAGGGTTTCTTTATTTTCTATTTCCGAGGAAAAGTTGCAAAATTAACCCGGTCGCTAACGTTTCTACGTATAGACACCCTCTCAACAGACGTGGAATGCATCCGCAAGCTCTGTGAGCTAAGCAATGTAATCCCAATAATATCCAAAGCAGACACCCTCACCCAAACTCAAATCACCCACTTGAAATTCCGATTCCACGAAGAAGCTCGTGAGGCCGGAATCAAACCATTCCTATTCGGTGACCCCCCGAACGGTCCAGACGGGCTCGAATCCCAACCCCCATATGCGGTCTCCTCCGAGAAAACAATCGACACTGAAACAATGGATGCAAGCACCCTAATGAGTCCAGACTATGTTCAACCACTCGTGCCCTCCGAACTAGACGCCCTAGTCAACAAAATGTTCGATCGCGATAACCTAGCCTGGATGCGCCATTCCGCTGCAAAGAAACTCCTTCAGCAACGCATGGACTCGTATTCATTCCCACCCTCAATGCCTGCCGCCAGTGGGTCCGCATATGCATCTAGCAGCTGGCGTTCCGTCTCGGGAACCTCCATCTCCCTCGACTCCCCACCCGGCTATGCCATGGCCCGCATCGCAGACCACACCCAGAATGAGGAGCGTATGGCGCAGGTCCGCCTCGCCCAGTGGGCGACCGATCTGCAGCGCAGCTTACAGAACGAGCGCGATCGATATACCTCGCTGGCTCGCGGTGAGCGCGCTGTATGGCTCACCGAGCGGCTGGGCGAGTGTGTTGTGGACGGCTCGTTAGTGCCTCTTTCGCAGACCCCGGGCTTCTGCGGGCTGCATGGCCCTATCCGGGAGAAGAGTGGTGGGTTCCAGGTCATGCGATCACATGCTGGTTCCGGGGCATATCGCTTCACGAATTTCAGTCCGCATGACCCGCTCGGCGTGGTTGGCTGGATTGACGAGCTTGGCCACCGGAGCTGGATGCTTGTTCAGATTGTTGGGAGTGTAGGGGTGGTTGGTGGATTAGCACTCTGGCTTGCGCGCACTTGGGGTTTGCCGACGCGCAGTCTTTCGGATTTGCGGGTTGATTACTGGTGTGGCACTATGGAACGGTAAGTGGATGAGATGACTCTGGTATAATGAGGGTATGGATATGTGATATGGGCTTTCATGGAGTTATGGTTTTCTAGTTTGTCTGGGGTGTCCCTACTGGATGGGTCCACTCTTGTGTTGTTGGGTTCTCTGGTGATCATTTTTCCCATCTTCGGCGTCTTATGGCGTCTTATGGTGTCTTACGACTCTGAGACAATTCTCTTTGCGGTTCTGGGTCACGTAGCATTGTCGGACAGGGGTAGCTTTGCATGAAAATGATAAATTTGATTTTTATGACTGATTTGTCTTACTTTTTTTGTCATCTAACAGAATATTAGGGTTAAATATGTAGGGTCTAGTGTCAATATTTAACTTTTTTCATTGAATAAATAAAAACGCAAAAAAAAAAAAAACAAGCTCTAACGTTAGCCTTTGGTATGCCGAACTAGTTGTCTTCCACTGTAATATATCGACCTTTTCCCTTTATAAATCCAAAAGTACAGAAACACTTCATCCAATTGGTAAGATGGCCGAGTTGGTCTAAGGCGCACGGTTCAGGTCCACCTGATCCCGATGGTACACAACTGTCTCCGTGTCTCGAAAGGGGCGTGGGTTCAAATCCCACTCTTATCATATCTTTTTGTTTTTTGTTATATAATATATATAGTAGTAGAACCATACATAGGATTTGTGGTGGACTATAGTTGTTGATTTTTGTTAGTTAGACAAGTGATGTAGCCCAATAAACTTCTACCTATATCAATAGAATCAGTGATTCTCCGAATTCCAGAACTCATATTGCTAGCTCAGCGTTTATAGGCAATGCTAGGAATGATTTACGTATACGTGGAATAATGTGCTTGTGCTGCCGTTGCATGGTATAGATGCAATAGACGTGAGGAAGAAATCAATATATATCCGCAGCCTCGGTCATTCGGGTGGTATGAGAACTCTTCTACGTAAGAGAGGATTACGAGAACCGGAAGGTTGATAGTGTGTTGAGCGAATATATATCTATATATATATAAACTAGACCTTCATCTACTTTGGTGGAATAATTAGGTCGCAATTTAGGTATTTTTGCTATAAAAGTGGAAACATGGGGAATTAACGAAAGGGTATAGATACATAGAGCAGCGAGTAATGATCGATCCTTGCCATGACATTATACCTCACCCCGGGAGTCATGACTCTCACGAGCCAAGGAAATCCGTAGGTCTACCGAAGAAAATAGGAACAAAGGATAAGGTACAATTGTATTACAGTCAACTACACCCTTAAAAGAACAAAGGAGATATCGGCAATGAATCTAGGCACAAGTGGTCACATCAAATCCAAATTGAAGGGAAACAGACTCTTCCCTCTCTACGGTGTAATGTATACAGGGATTTTAAACGGTCAGACCGAGGTCCTCGGCGAAGGGGAGCTGGTGGATGTCACCCACGCTGACGAGGGTGGCCTTGCCAGTGAGGAAAGTGTTGGCGACCTACGGGTAACTGTTAGCATCAAGACATCAACAATGCGGAATGCGGAGAGAGAAATAACATACCTCCTTGACTTGCTGGTCGGAGACCTTCTCGAGAGCCTGAGCAATCTCGTTGATCTGGTAGGGCTTGTTGCCGTGGACGAGGCCGGAGCCGGTAGCCTCAAGACCGGTCTCGAGGGTCTGGACGGACTCCAGAGCGCGGAACTTGGCGAGGGCAATGGCCTTCTTGATGTCCTCGGAGGCGACCTCACCGGCGGCGGCCTTCTTGAGGGCGTCGACGACGTTCTTGCTGGCGGCACCGACCTGGTCGGCCTGGCCGGACAGGGTGACGGTGAAAAGACCGGCATCGGAGTAGGCGTTGTTCTGGGTGGAAACGCGGAGTTGGCTGAAGCCCTTGGTGGCCTGGGACAGAAGGGAGAAGCCGGGGGTCCACTTGATAGTGGACTCGCCGCCCAGAAGAGCAGCGAGAACGGAGGCCTCGGCCTTGTAGCCTGCGGTGCCGAAAGCGCTAGAACCGGGGAAGGCGATCACAACAGCGTTGCCGATCTTGGAGGCAATGCGCTGCTCACCACCATAGTACTTGGAGGCGACGGAAGGCAGAACGTTGTATTTGCTGGAGGCGTTGACGGTGGGGGTGTCCTTGAAGAACTGGCCAACCCACTTGGAGACCTCAGCGGAGTTGGGGCCGCTGGCGACAAGAGCGATGTTGGACTTGGAGTAGGCACTCTGAGCGAACTCGGCCAGGGCATCGCCGGAGACGTACTTCTCGTAGGGGGAAGACTGGGAGGGGGTGATGGAGGCGCCCAGACCGCGGTGGAAAGCAACACCGTGGGCGGCATCGACAGCAACGGTCTCCGGGTTGGAGTGGACGGCCTGCTGCTTGTACTTGAGGAGCTTGCTGACAACCTCGTTCAATTCGTGGTCTGATATCATCCGAGGGGGCTCGAGTCAGCAAAGGGTACTCTTATAATTGCGCTCCACCAAGCATCATTCATCAAAAAGGGATGGACTCACCTGCGAACTTGGTCTGGGAAGCGACCTCGGCAAGCAACTCTGTGAAGTAGGGGAGATCCTTGGAGAGGAACTTGGTGCGGAGGACAATGTTTTCGCGCGAGTGTGTCGACGAGATTTCACCGCCCAGCAGCTCAGTCTCCCGGGTAATCCGCAATGCAGACCGCTTGAGGGTAGTCTGTTGAGGAATTGAGTGATTAGTATTGTCAAATATGCTTGAGATAAATCAATTGATGTCATGGGACCAACCTTGAAAGCGAATCGGTCGAGAGCATCGGAGAAACCAGGGAAGGGCTGGTAACGGGAGCCAGCCTTTGCAACCAGAGCCAGGGTGCCAGTAGGGCCCTCAACCTCACGGTTGGCGACCTTCACACCGGAAGCTTCGGAGACATCGTACTGGAAGGCCGGGTTGACAGCGGAGGCCATGGACCGACGGCCGGCGGCGAACGCACGCGGCGCATTTCGGCTGAGGGAAGACCGCGACAGCATCGTCGCCTGTGCCGAGAAGATGTGAGAGAAGAAGAAAAGATATAAACCCGAATTGGGTTTGTAAAGAGGCGCAAATGAGGCGGGGAAGGAGGTGGGATGCGGAGAGAGCAAGAGGGAAGAGGCAGTTTGGGAGGTCACGAAAAGCTTCAAGATCCCGACTCGTCACTCCAGCCAATCAGCGTTCAAGTAATCAAAAGCCCGGACGGAACCGGAGTTACTTTTGTTGCGAGTATATAAGGAGTTATTCTATTGTCTTAGATATAATTGTTTATAGTCTCTAATTGAGTATATTTGAATAATTGATATAATTTGTATTCAAATTGACTTGAATCTCTTTTTATTGTTCCCATAGTCTCCCTGAACACGTTTCTTCCAAATGAAGTTGGATCACCTGATTGATCCTATCACGTGAATATACCGATAAGCAAAAAAAGAACAAAAGGACGGAGGGACCAGCATCTCATCGCGCATTGGATTTTTGGACTTGCAGATCTCTGCTAGCTTGGAAATCTTCATGAACCCTCGGTGACCCTAATTGCCCCCTCTCGAGGCTTGGTGAATCTTTTAATATCTTTAGCCCACCATGATATCCCAGGTATGCGACTGTCCCGCTAACCTCGAGAGAGCTCTACTTACTGATATGAACTTAGTGCTCTGCCGAGCTCTGTATGCTTTTGATCGAAGACAATTTTGGAGAGCTCTTTGCTGTGAGTCATCTTGTGCAGACTCTGGGGCTGTCATGCTTCACTTGCCACAGCGGGGAAGGAACCGGACTAACTAGTCAACCTTTCGCAGCGCATCTTTACCGTACTCCAACGTTACGAAAGACTGACTCTTCCTCGATTGAAATTCTATGCTCGCCTGACAGATCGCCAATTGCACCATGGCCTCTCCGCCATGATCCAGCACCACTTGATCTATCACTTCACTTCCCTCGATGACGGCAATACCTACTACGAAGCTAATCCGCAAGCCGCGTACTCCCTCGTGCGATCTGGAAAGATTCTCCAGCTTGTTGAAAGTCGACTAGGGGAATACGCTGCGCAGGTGTTGGAAGCGATCATGATGCTCGGTCACTCCTCCATCGCCCACCTCGAGACACTTCCCGAACTTAAATCCAAGAGGCAGCGCATTCTGAATGGCGCCAGCCACGATGAAATTAACACCGAGCAAGACGGGGAAAATGAAGAGGATTCCGCGGCTCCTAACGGCGATCATGTAAGCGAGAAACCCGTGCGCCTTCACCCCACCTTGAAGAGTCTCGCCTCGCACGGGTATATTCATCGCCTTCGAGAGGCACACTTCCAAAGCCCGAACGACAACTGGCTAGATGCTTCCCGGATCATCGCATCAAGGCCAGATGTCAAATTGATGAAGGGCAAGCAACAAGCGGCGGAGATTGAGGAGAAGGCGAAGGATATGGTCAAGGAAAGAACTGAAGGAGATCTGACCCGGGGCCTAATATACAACGGTGTCCCCCAAGGCGCCAAAAGAAAACGCGATCACGGCAACTCGGAGTCTAACAAGCAGGCCCCGAATGGCACCAACGGTGTCAACGGGGACCATGTAGAGGACGAGGAGGAAGAGGATAATGATTGGTCCGAAGATGAAGACGGCGTTGATTCAATCCCAATGGATGTAAGCTCGTTTTGTTCTTCCTTGCCGCGGCCTCGAAACAACCATTAACATTTACTACAGTCCAACCTTATCGTTCGGGTGAACTACGAGAAACTTGACGTGGCGCTTCGAAACACGCGGTTCCTTGAGCTTGCTGAGCAAGACGCACCTTCTGCCTCAGTCGAGATTTACGACTGTCTGCTTCGGCGCATTGAATACCAAACAGCCCGCTGCCGAGACTCCTATGAGATCCCCCGCGAAGGAGAAGAAGGCGAACAATACTCTGCTCCAATCCAATTGAGCTCAATCGTGGAAGACGTTGACCCACATTTGGATCTTACAGGATGTATTGGCCCGATGGAACCCTCGACGGTGTTAAACAAACGCGGCAAGCGACCATTGGATGACGATACAAACGGTGTGAATGGTGATGGACATGATGACGAACCGAGCGAACAGAATCGCGCTTATGAGATCGACCAACATCTTGGTATTCTCTCACAACCTCCCTTGAACCTTACCACAAAACATGTCATCTCCGGTCTCCCTACGTGGCGAGTTGCATTCCGAAGCCTGGCCCGCAAGCTTCGTCATTTAGAACTGGAACGCATGATCGAATCGCGGTACGGAGATGTGGCACTGCGGGTGGTCCGCGTCCTGCATTCCAAGGGCAAGCTGGATGAGAAACGACTTCAGGAAATCAGTCTCTTGCCCTTCAAAGACCTACGCCAAACGCTTGCTAGCATGCAAACCGGTGGGTTTGTAGACTTGCAGGAAGTGCCGCGTGACGCGCAGCGTCAGCCTTCCAAGACAATCTACCTGTGGTACTACGATCCAGATCGCGTGTGCAGCAGCATCCTGGAGGATACATACAAAGCCATGTCACGATGCCTGCAACGCATCAGGTTTGAACGCACGCGTGAAAGAGATTTCCTCGAGAAGACGGAACGAACGGACGTCAAGGGTCACGAGGAAGAATTCCTCTCGGAGGCGGAATTAGAACATCTTCGCAACTGGAAGGCCAAGGAAGCCTTGCTGCTGGCGGAGGTATCTCGACTAGATGACATGGTGGCTGTTTTCCGTGATTATTGATTTGCTATGTTCATATCATGGAGGCTGGGAAGTAATTGGGGTTGCATAAATCTGTACAGGCGCATGAGCGACGAATTGATACAAATGACACCTATATGCTCGTTATACGAGTCTATTCTTTAGAAATATGTTGGGCCTGATACGTAGTAAAGTTTTTGTTCCTTTTAGGGTTATAGATGCTCGAGTTTCCGGAGGTGGGGGTAAACCCGGCCCTTGCGCCTCACACAGCCACCGTAGGGATGAATCCACGTCCCAGATGCGAGAAACAGAGTATCTTTGTGTTCTTATATAACATTTAGTTGGGCATTAGGCATTAGGCTGGAATTTCCATTTATCATTAATAGAATTCCTAGAGACAAGTAGAATCGAATCAAAACACACATCTATAACTATGTTAACTATAAAAATGTATAGACTTAAGTCCCACAGTGATCGGCAGCCTGGCGTCATATGGCTTTCACATGCATGATTTAGCCAAGCATAATATTCTACTAGTTTACCAGTAGATAGGCAGAAAGGTATATAAATAACAAGGGCAGTGTTTAGGCAGTAGTTGAATGACAGAGGTTATATACAATATATAAAAGAAAAACAAACATAGGAACACAGTAATAGCCAGTCAAAGAAATAAAGAAAGGATCTATTCCAAGGTAGAAATACACCCCCTACGTCAGCCCTATTGCAAAAGCCAAGCCTGCCAATGTTTATGACGCTCGCACGACGCCGGTGGCTGCCCGACCTTTTTATACCATTTGCCATACCTTGTTTTATAAGATATTTTTTTTTCTCTCTGACAATCTTACAGATAAATCTACGAACTTTCCATTAATATTCACACCTAAATTTACATTTTATCCACATCAACCTCTACATCCATCGAAAATGGCCTTCCCGTGGATATACCCCGTCCGAGCCGTGCAAGCACTCTTTGGCGTGATCGTGATTGGCTTGACAGGATATGGTCCGTTCAGAACCAAGTCTCGAAAATTTCTTAAAACTAACAAGTTCTGCAGTGGTGTCAACCTTCTACAATGGATGGTCATTCGATACCGTCAACTTCCTCCTCTTCCTCGGTTGCTGGACTGCCTTTGTGGCAGTGCCCTACCTCGCCCTTTCACCAATATGGTTCCCTCGCCTTGCACACCATTATGCGATTCCTGCCGTTGAAGTGATCACCATGATCTTCTGGTTTGCCGGGTTTATCGCTATGGGGGCGATGTTACCCCCGCCGAGACGGTGTCATGGGAGTGCATGCAGCTCGCTCCAGGCAGCAACGGTATTTGGGGCTTTTGAATGGTGAGAATCCGTGGTTTGATTTGATTTGATTTGATTTTAGTTTAGTTTTTGGTCTTATGACAGTATACATGAACGGAGAGCTAATTGTGATATGTGTGGCGTATAGGGTACTTTTTGCAGTCACGAGCTATTTCGGTATTGTCGATCTTAAGCACCACCGTCGCGGTGGAGAAGCAAAGCCACATTCGAATGTGAATATCGGGGTCTGAAACGTTTCTTTTTCTTTTCATAACCACCCTGAAAGCAGTTGAGACCATTCGATTGGAGTAATTGTTGATATTTTGGATGTTGCCATACTATGTAGTTCGTGATGGTGTTTGGATGCGATACCCTTTGATAGCGATCTCATGGAGTTCATGTTTTAGTAGTCTTATTCTTGAAATCGAATATAAAAGTTCAAGCAAGATCAATGATTAAAGATCTAACGTCATTCTTATGACTAGCTCGCTTCAAGGTTACGTACTCTCTGCTACATAGAATGATACAGATACATGAGTATAAACTAGCTTGAAAAGTTTAAGAGTTCACCTGTAATTATAAAGGAAGTTGAACCATTGACAGATCCTCATCCAAGGGTCTTCCTCACCCAGAATTTACATACATTATTTCTATTCTTAGTATATCGTCAGCATAGCAGCCCAACCAGCCCCATTTTCCACAACTGCTGCACCCCAGGTGAAGCATATTTCCAAGCAAAGTAAAGTGGTGTTTGCCTCTTCCTATCCATAGCATTCACATCTGCGCTACGTCGAACAAGACACCTCACCATATCTTTTGCAGTGCCGTCATCATCTTTTGGGCCCCGGCAATACGCTACGACGTGCGGTGGACTACATCCCGGTGGACACCGAACAACTCGACTCGGGCTAAAGCAGCACATAGTCGCTGATGATCCCCGGAACATAGAGGGGTGTATTCCACAGCGGCGAATGGCGTGGTGCAAAATAGTGCATCCCTTCGAATCCCTTAGATTGAGATCAAATCCATGGTCAAGAAGCAGCTCCAGTATGTCGCAATTTTTGGACCTTACAGCCGACGTTAGGGATGCGAAATCAACCCGGGCTCCATGATCTAGAAGCAGGCGAACTGTCTCGGGAGTATATCGGATTATCGCCGAATCGAACAAGCTCTCGTGATAGTTTGCTCCGTGCTTTACAAGCAAATGGACTGTTTCGATGGTTCCACTGCCAATTGCCGCACCTAGCAATCTCCCTTCGTCACCACGAACCAAGGCAATGTTCGCTCCGTTATCGAGAAGGACCTCCACCATGGATGCATAGTTTGGCTTTCTACACACTGCCCAAAGCAATGGATTATTTCCGTTGATTCCGGCGTTTATATCAACACCGAATTCGATGAGCAGCTTCAGCATCGACATTTGACCAGCCACTGCACAGTTAATCAACCCTCCGAACAACATCATGGGACTTTCTGTCTTAGCCCCCTGTTCAATAAGAAGCCTGAGGGTACTCTCATGGCACCCAAGAAGAGCTTCGACCGCAGGATGGTATGATTGACTCCGGGTCCCTTCCCCCTCGCGGTCGTTTAAGCGAGCCCCATGATCCAGGAGCAGGCTCACTACTGCATCATGTCCAGCGCTCGCGGCTATGCTTAGGGGTGTTTGCCCTTTAGACATAGGCCCAGGAGGAAGCATAGGTGGAATCCTAGGTGGCATACCAGGTAAACGCTCAGGTGGAAAGTGGTAATACCCTCTTCGTCTATGAAAGTTGAATACAGCTTTGACATCCACGTAGGCTCCCCCCCCCCCCGTAGGCTCCCCCCCCCCCCAGCAGAGAAAACGTCGTACGCCTCTTTCATTGCCATTAGCGGCGCATTTGATTAAGCCCTGGCTTTTCGAGGACTTCACATCTCGCTAATAGTGGCCGGGAAGAAGAAGGTTGTATAGGCAATGGTTCACCTGTAGTAGGTGTGAGAGATCCTTGGATTTCAATTTCTTGCTTGTCGGGAGGAACAACTCGTTGGGTAATTCGAGTAACGAAATCATTGTGAAAAGTAATATGCGATATATGACTGTAGTCTTGTCTCTCAAATTAGTAATTGAAGAAGAGAAATCCACTAGCGCGGGGCTGCGTAATCCATGGATACCTAGAATGAGAAATAGATGTGTGGGCTGATAATTGAAGAAAGATTGCTACAATTCTTATTGATTTTACTTCGAATAGTGGTAGACGATGGATTATCGAAGGTAGCCTCGACTAAAGTCCATAGACATCCATGGAGACCAGCTCTCACAACCGGAATGTGCTGAACCAGCTTCCAAGGTTTCCAGGGTCTACGATATTGCTACAAGACAGATAACTCTCTACATCCGGAAAACAAGTACAATGCAGAACCGATATCAATGCTGCTAGGAGTATGATGCGATGCAAAACAAGCACGGCGAAGACACGCAACGAACATGGACACGTATCTCACATAAGTAGAAACAACAGATCCGACTCAGCTATCCAGCAAGGCTAGGAGAGCAAACCATGTTGCACAGAAAAGCCAATGCACACCTTTAGCGCTTGCCCTTCTTGCGAGGAGCGACAACCTTGAACGCCGAGCTAGCAGCCTCTTCCTCACGCTGAGCAGCAGCCGCAACGGTAGCAGCAGAGCCCTTCTTGGCAACCTCGCTCCAGCCCCCGCCGTTCTTCTGCTCGCCGAAAGCACTGGGCGAGACGGGGTCAACAATGCCCTTATCGGCAAGCTTGCGACGGCGGATGAATTCCTCCGAGAAACGACGGCCGTCTAGAGTCTGGGAGTTGGCGTAGACGGAGTCGGAGATAATCTCAGCCTCGGCGGGTAGGAAGAGCAATTGCTGGACGAAATCGTCAACTAGTAAGGATATGTTAGTATGGACACGGTGTGGATTGAATAAAAACATAGAACTCACCATTGATGCTGCTGTTCAACCCCTTGCTCAGAGCCAGAGTAGCCCACTTGGTGAACTCCTCAACGGCCTGGTTGGGATTGGACTGCGGGGCGTTGCCGCTTGGCACAGCACGGGTAGTGGTCACAGGCCGAGGCTTAGCGATAAGAGGCGAAATTGGGACAGTTCCGCTGGCCGTGCGGGGTCCAAGGGGCGGCGCAGTGGGAACAACGCCCTTAACCTTGCCACTAGCACCGACGGTGGTCCAGGCACTGGAGCCCTGGCCAGCGGCGGCGACAGGAGCAGGACCCTTGCTAGCAAGATCGGCATAGCGCTTTCCAACAGAGGAAGGAACGGGAGGACTGGGGGTCGCAGCCATGGCGGCGGCGGCAGCAGCAGCCGCGCGGTTCTTACGGGCCTCTTCTTCTTTCTGGATCTGAGCCAGAGTCTTCTTAGCGCTAGTGGCGGTGGGTGTGGGCTGGGTCTTGGTGGCCCAAGGGGAGCCAGTCGAGGCAGGGGTGGCCGGAGATCCAGCGCTAGCCCAGTTGGCCGACGAGGGAAGGCCAGGAGCTGCCTGTGCCTGCGCTTGGCTGAGACGCTCTTGCTCCGCAAGGAATTGGGCACGGCGTGCCGCAGCGGCGACTTCCTCGCGCTGGGCGGCAGTACGAGCCTCGGCCTCCTGGATCTCCTTGAGAGAGGGACCCTTGGGCAAATCATTTGCCTCCTTGGCCCAGGGCGCGACAGAGGTGGGCGCAGCGTCAACGGGAGTCTGAGTCTGGGAGCGGGACCCAGTGGCCAAAGACTCGGCGACATTTTGGCGGTTACGCTGGGCGGTAGGTGCAGGGAGAGGCGACGCGGATGGTGGGGGAGGGAAGGGTTGGGGCATGGCGTGGTCAACCTTGTTTCCCCAGACCGATTCAGGAGGGCCATGGCTCTGATCATGTTCCTGCTGCTGGCGTTGAGCAGAAGCAGCCTTATGGACTTGCTGAGAAAGAGTAAGAGGCTCGGAACCGGTAACAGAGTCGGTCAACTGCTGAGCTGCCTCCTCCATCTCGGCCGCAACCTCCGCTTCGAGTTGCTGAGATGCAGCGGCAGGGTGGGTAGGCAGGCCTTCGGCGGTGCGCATGCCCATCTCGCCTTCCTGGGCCCGAAGGGCATGGAACTGGCGAAGACGCTCCTCGCGAGCGTGCTGGTCAAATGGATCATCTTCATGAGCCTTGTCAAAGTCTTCCTGCTCTTGCTGAAGCTGAGCACGATCCTGAAGCATTTGACTAACCTGTTGCGACTGCAAGAAGTTATCGGGCTGGCGGCCAGAGAACGAACCAGCACTGCCAAAGGCGAATGGATCCTGGCGGCCGACGTTCAGGCGATCAAGTAAAGCGGGAAGTTGATCCTGGCTACCGAAATCCGTTCCTAGCATTCCGGGGCCCACGTTCAAACCACCCTGTCTCGGTGCAACACCATCGAAGAATCCGGGGACGCCTTGGGACTGCTGCTGCATGGGAGCCTGGATCGGGGATGGCTGGTAGCCAACGGGTGAAGTGATACTTGAGAAGCTGGGCTGGCTTTGAAGGCTGTGTGCACTAGACTGGTGCTGCAGCGGAGGGTTCATGGAGGTTGAGGGAGCACCAGGAGGAGCCATCTGCTTCATGATTGCCTGCTGCTGAGCCAAGTGCTCCTTCTGTCGAGCCATCAGGTACTGTTCTTCCTGCTTGCGTCGTTCAAGCGCATTTTGCTGCTCGGCGGTCAAGGTAGTGCCGAAGCTTGGGAAACTGCCCGGGAAGGGCGGCTGAGCAGATCCAGCGGTCGTGTTAGTCCACTGGGCAACAGTCGGTTCTGGGCCATGAGGAAGGCCAATCTGGGGCACAAGGAACGGCTCCCGTGAGTTTCCAATGCGTCTCACTAGCTGAGCCAACGGCTCAAATTCGGTATCCTCAAGCTTCTTGATTTGCAAGTCTGGGCTGAAGAAGCCCGCCTTGAACCAATCATGCATCTCAAGCCCAGTCCACGGGCCCTGGATATTGCCTTGCGGATCCCGGTAGATCCAGCGCATCCTATCCGGCATGACCATGGTACGCTGCTGAGAAGCAGGGATACCTGCGCCAGGGGTTTGACTGGAAGGAATATCATGACCAGCCAGGTTTGGAATAGACCCAACGGCCGAGACAGGTGTTTGCGATGCAGGCGTTGAGCCAGGGTGGCTCGCCTGACCCGCCTTGTCGCCTTGCGAGGGGTCGAGTCCATCTAGGCCCACGGAGTCGGGCCTTCCTTGGTCGTCCTGCATGGAAGAGAAGAGGGCGCCGAGTTTGCTTGATCGACCGATGCTTCCAGTGCCAGTCATACCCGCGTGGGGGCTGAATAAACCACCCCCACCGAGGGTTGACAAGCTAGGAGATTGAAGATCGCCCATAGAACCAAAGATGGGGTCACCGAAACCACCAACAAATGCAGAACGCTCACGAGTGGGCGTCCCGACAGCAGCACCAGATGACCAAGTCGAAGCTCCACCCAGGGAAGACAGACCACCGAGGCCACCGAGACCAGAGAAAGTGCGGTTGGCATTGACACTGGAGTTCTGGCTGCGGTCCACAGTGGGGAGGTCGATCCCTGAGCCAACCCGTCTCATCGAGCCGAAGGGGTTGGAGGGATCCCGAAGTCCGCTGATTCCGGGATGCTGGGCAGGCTGGATATCCGACCCGTCAGTGTCGACATCTTCGGGTTCCGCACCTTCGCCATGACGGTCACCATGCGGGCTCTGGTAAGGATTAGTGTTGGTTGGACTATTTGGCTCGTGGCCCTGGAGCAGGCTGGGAGTTGGGTTCCGTGAGTTCTCCTGGCTTTGCATCAACTCCCGGAATCCAGGAATGCTCGAGGTCATGCCGAATGCGCCAAACCCAAGATCAGATTGAGCAGGACCTTCAACATCCTGAGACCCGCCAAGAGCAGCGCTGCCACTGCGAGGCTCATCAAACGGATTAGTTTCGCTTCGGTTGACACGAGTCTTGACGGCATCTCCCCAGGGCGACTGCGAGCGCCCATCACTGTCATTTTCAGCAAGACGTTCAAGGTTACCCATGGGCTTTTCCTTGGCGGAGCCGGCAATATCTTCGGAGCTATCCTTGGACAGCAAACCCTTGAATCTGCTCTCTCCGCGGAGACTTCCGTAGCCCGGTTTCTTTTCGGCCGTGGGAGTACCAGAGGCGGAGCCGGAACCAAGAGAGAAAGCCCCAAAGGCACCCATCGGGGAGAAATTGGCATTATGCGAAGCCGAACCCCAGGGGGAGTTCGGTCCACTAACGCCCGTATTGATGGGATTGGTGGAGCTGCGTTTCAGAGATCCGAAGGGAGAGGCAGGATCCTCCCTGCTATCCTTGGCTTTCTCCTCCACCTTCGGGTTGGGTTCTCGGAAATCAGTTTTGCGGCGCAACAAGGCCGGTGGAGGAGTAGCAGTGTTAGCCTCATCGCGGAAAAATCGGGAGTTGGAACCGGTAGGGGACATGGGGTTGCCAATCGATTCTCCCGTTTCCCGGCGTCGGGGACCCGGGCGACCGGCGGTGGGGGATGAGGTGGTGTAGTTATTGATATGGCCCTGAGGATAGGAGATCGAAGACTTGCGACCTCCAGTTCCCGGGATGACGTTTTCCTTCGCGGCGTTTGTAGGGGGTGGCTTCAGAGGGGAGTTGACTGAAGCGGCGAACATCTATTAAGCTTTTTTTTAGTAAGAGCACTCACTCGGACCCGAAAGCACACAACACGAACCTCTCTCTCGTCCTCGGTCATACCCGTGATTCCGAGGGGTTCGACCTGGCCGCCGTGATCCCAACAAACCTCAGGCCCCGCAGAGTTGTTCTTGTGGTCGTCCCGCTTCCCCCATGCTCCATTAGCAGGAGCTGACACAGTGTGGGGGTCCCAGTCGGCCACGAAGTATCCCTCCACGTTCTTACTCAAGGTACCCTCCTCCCGCTGCGATTTATACAGCTCTAGAAGTTGATCCTTGGAGTACCGGGCGTCCCCATTCCGTGCAATGCTAGAAGAATTTGAGCTCAGGTGTGGAGGGATGTACGCGCCGCCGGCCGAGAGTGTCGAAGCAGATGCAGGCTGGCTACTATCCCGGTGGTGAGAAGGGTTGGTAGCAACAGAAGGACGGCGGAAGGTCTGCGTAGCTCCGTTCATGCGGTTTCGAGACCTAGTGGGCATTGAAGGTTAGCATCGGATATCTCGAGCTCAAAACATTGACGGCCAGGGCAGCATGGAACGATGTTGGACCGAGTCTGCTAGACAATAGCTAATGGAAGGTTTTAGGGGAAGGTGAAACGGCGTCTGCATACCATTCTCCGCTAGTCGAACCGTCCCCCCTCCGACTGGGGTCCTGGGTGTTGCCAGCAGCGGCCGAAGCGAAACTCGATGGAAGTGGTGTAGGCATTGTTGTAAAGAGGCTTTGTATGGTCGGATATTGATCCCCCACGTAAAAACCGATTCTGAGATAGTTATCGCGAAACCTGTGGCGGGCTTGCAAGAAATGTGTGATGCGAACGGATGAGTTGCAAGACACGAGATTGGAAAATTGGTGTAGAGTTGGAGGATGACAGCTAGGAGCTAGTCAATCGAAAAAGCGGAGAGCTGTAAGAGAGGTAATGCAGATATGCGAGCGCCAGACTAACAAGGTCGAGAAAGAGAGAGATCGAGTTTCGATTTCGCTTGGGAAGTTTCCTAGAGCAAAAATGATTAAGCGGTGGCCGTGGCAATACGCGTGCCTTATGGTAAATACCAGGTATGGGTTTGCTAGTGATCGCGTGATTTGCCGTTTAAGAGTGGTGAGTAAAGGGTATTGATGAAACCACAATTACATACCGCCAAGAAGTAGGTATCTGATACACGCACAACACTGTCTCTCCATACTCTGCCCAGTGTACCATGTACCTTGGTCTGCACCGTTGTGCCCAACCCTGTGCAGCAAAGAAAAAGAGACATTGTATAAAAGAATGATAACGATGTCTTTAAATAATCAAAATGCATTTTGAGCCTGATTTCTACTTTTCCCCTACCCCAAAAAGATTATAGATAGTAAGTACGTATGCAGTTAGGTGGCTTGACGCAAACAGAGAGATGTGGAAAAAAACAGAATAGACGTGTATTCCACACAACAGCCACGCTCCTCTTTTGATTGGGAGTTCTACCTTCCAAACAGTTGAACAGTTACATATGTAGGGATCTAGTCCTTTGTCTAAAAGAATACAAAGGAGAGCATCTAGACGTGCCACAGATGCAATAGAGGGGGGTTGATTGCATCCAATATCATCCCTTCCTCCCCAACCTCTGCAATGCTGGGAAAACATGCTCTGTCTTGAAAAGTTTCAACGGTCTTATTATGTCTTTAGATTCGGGCTGGAATCCGGTTGGATTAAGAATTCCATTATTTGTTGTACTTGTCAATAGGGCTAGATCGTCGTGTTGCCCTTTGTATATCTCTACTACCCCTGTTTGTCCTTTGATGCTTCGTTCTACACCAGACAATGCTTTCTGGGATTTAATCGCTTTTGCTCGCTCTAGGAGTAACACAGAGACGCAAAACAACAAAATGAATGTCTTAGCCCAAATAAATATTATGGGCTTAGTCTCAGAGCTTTCTTGGAGCTTCACAGATGTTATCAAGACTCTATAAAATGGACATCCCCCTCTCCGGCAATTCCCTCTTCACAGTTCTTTCGCCCCAAGTCAACCCAGTCAGGTTTCTATGAACTATAAACTTTCTTGCACAACAAAGATCATTTTCCCTCCCGTGTCTTCCGATATCCAACAGCTCATCGAGTTGGATGAAAGATGATGACCCGGTCCAGATTCACCGGCCGATTCAAACCCAACAAGACGGAGTATGGCTGGTACTTCGCTGGCGAGCCAATGGACAAGAGACACTCTCGAAACGGGCGGATCAGGTTAGTTCGTTATGGACCTGAGATGGATCTTTGTGTCCACAGTCGATGCCCGTCGCCGTCTCCCATTCCAGAAACGGCACCTTGCTCCTGCGGCAATAGATGCGAGGTTCACCCTCACGGGACACTCGGCCAATCTCCAGGCAACACTGAATCCTCTGGTTATGAGGCAACCAGAAGGTACTGCGGAAGATGCCATGGTATCCGACATGAGCCTGGGTCCCCTCCACAGGTGGAGAAAGTACCCTGCACTTGCAACAATCGGTGTGAATGTCCATGTCACTCGCATGACACACGCCCAATCACGCCAAACAGCAGTGGATATTCTAGCTCTGAATCAGGCACAAAACGCTATAGTAGCCGTCAATCAACAAGATGCGAGCGCAACGACACACGTCCCACCACGCCAAACAGCAGTGATTTCTCAGACTACGAACTACCCAGAAGACGTCGCACCGGCCAGCGCATAACCAAGCGCGAACCAGAACATTACCTGCGGGTGGATATATGCCAATGTGAGGCCCACACACCTCCTCCCAGTCCACCTGCCATGCCAGGCCAGAGATACAACTCCGCCCGTGCATCGTTCACGACAGCACCACGCCCCGGTCTGATAGTCCAACGCCACCACTGTCGCAAGGCAGAGTATTGCGAAAGCCACCCGGAGCTTTGCCGAGCTTCGATGCCTGTGCCTTCGCGGGTGCCGAGATCGAATTCAACTCCGACTCACTCTCCCCGGTCGAGTGAAAAGACTCGTCACAGCCCGCGGGTCAAACCAGACCCGAGATGCACTTGCCAGCGGTCCGCTTCTCCTCATAAGCAGGTGCCTCATCCAAAGCCAGTGTCTCCATCCAAGTCTACCAGACCTGATGTTCCACATTGTATCTGCTTCTTCATGGATGGGTATCACGGGGATGACTCCGGATATTATACCCATTATGAAGATGACACTGCTACCGAGACCTCCACTCAGGCCATGCCAGGGGATGTGGATGAGACACGTTGTGTTTTTCATCACCGCTGTCGTCCGAGGTTTGAGCGTGGGATTGGCTGGGTGTGCGGCAGGAAGTGAGGAGACTTTACTTCAGTGGATCGGTGGAGGTATTTCATTAGAAGGACTGTCCATGCTGTTTTCTCTTGCTCTTTTTCTCTTTTCTGGTCTATGGCCTCTTTGAGTTGGGATATCAATCCCAGATATGGAGAGAACTGTTGGAATGGTTGTCGTTTCCCCGTGAGAGGCCCAGAAAGTATGATAAAGGCTTCAAATCTGATATTTCATTTGGCATTATTGTAGTCTATGCTTTATGGTTAGGTTGTGATACCATCCATTTATGTGGTCAATAACTTCATCGATCATGGTATGAGTTTTATTGTTGCATACAGAACGATTCTAATGCGTAGACATCACGTCCTCGAGTACCCTCGAGTATGACAGTGTTTAAATGTCGATGCCAACGTCTCCTTTACATTTTACATTTTACATGTTTTCATCTTCTGTCATTTTTACTCTCACATCACTCTCGTTTTGCTACTATCTCATTTCCAATCTTCGAAAAAGCCTTTGTTGTAGTTTAGAAGAACAAAATACAACTCGAAAACTCTCAGCACGCTCCACAGACAGAGACATAAAACCCTACCCGACTCCAGTCAACTCCAGTCATCCATCCCATCAACCATCTCTATAAAGTTCCATCAAGTTCCATCCTTCCTATCAACCATGGTCCCGCAAAGGCCATGGTAAAGTCTTGCCCAGCCGCTCGTAGTCGGCCAGCTGCCGAAAATAAGCTTAGGGATGAGGAGGTTACGCTACTTTAGAAGCTTTCGAAGCTAAACTACAAGGAAGTAAGACCATCCTACACTCAGTTTGATTGATTGCTGCCACAGCCGCCGCTGTCGATACTACTATGGAGGACACAAAGGGGACCGAAGAAACTGACGAAGCCAAAGGTGGAAACAATGACGAGGATGCGAAGTGGACATCTTGACGACTGTCAGCGGGATGAAAGTTGAAAGAGGAAAAGGATCGAAGTGAATTTTTGTGTTTTTATAGCAGTTGCTGAGTCAGTGCGTTTGATGCGCTGCCACCTATAGAGTCATCAGTGCTATGCTAAGCTCTGATATGGCGTAGACTATGAGTCGCTAGGATAGAGGTACAGCTAATCTATAAGCTATACTCAAATTATACCATGCGTAGTGATGTTCGATATGACTAAATCTTCGCCTTGAAGGTCAGAGCTTCATCTTAGCCTGTCTTGTTTATACTGGTTCCAATGCCATTATTTTTGGTCCTGCAAAAAGGCTAGACACCAAAGTAATGGGAGATGCTATTTGACGTCCGTGATTTTTCCATGGATATGCTGAATAACACGTTACTTTGCTGTTCGAAGCTAGAACATATATCACTAGAAAATGTAGAAACAGTAACAGATAACAGACATAAACAACTCTAGACTAGCTCCCTCGATCCACTAGCGAGATATACAGCACACAAGTGCAATGTAGAAACCGTCAAAGGTTACTATAAAACAGCAGCGACTAAGAACACCCCATGCGCTCTGATGTAAGGCGAACATGCTATGGATCTTGGTGTTTTTAGTTACATTTTATTTCAATTCGAGCTGTGCATTCTGAAATATATCAGAATATATGGACAATTGTTTCCAATTTCCATCGACTGTTCAAGTAGTCTCGCCTCGGACAGTCGGCAAACGCATAATCAACAAATCTAGCCTCGGCTATCGATAAGCATTTAAGCATCCCCGCACAAGCGCCCTGACTCGAAAGGTTTCAAGGTTTCATCAAAGGTCAATTTATTTTGGTACATATCTTCATCTAGCACCAAAAATGTCTAAAGCAATTTACATATCCCCGATTGACGGCAAGCCGGGCAAGCCAGGCCAAGTCTACTACCCGCTCTCCCTTCGCACCGTGCCCAAGCCTTCCCCGCAAGGGGGTGAGCTACTGGTGAAACTGACTGCTGCGGCGCTGAACCACCGCGACGTCTTCCTCCGCCAACACCTCTACCCCGGCCTGAGCTTTGATGTGCCTCTGCTTTCAGACGGAGTCGGTACCGTTGTCGGCACTGGCCCGAACGTCCCCGATTCAGAAAAATGGCAAGGCAAGCGGGTGATCTTGACCCCCAGTGTTGGCTGGAAGGATTCGCCTGACGGGCCGGAGGATGCAAGTGGAAATCGAATTATGGGAGGCACCAAGTTTTATGATAAAGGGACATTGCAGGAATATATTACTATCGAGTACTCAGAAGTCGAGGAGGCCCCTGAGCATCTCTCTGATGCCGAGGCTGCGGCTCTGCCCCTGACGGGCTTGACAGGCTGGAGAGCTCTGATTACCAAGGCTGGTGAGAAGAACTCTGGAGATGGTGCTGCTGTCTTGATTACTGGCATTGGTGGCGGTGTGGCTCTGATGGTGTTGCGGTTTGCGGTTGCCAGAGGTGCGCATGTATTTGTGACGAGTTCGAGCCAGGAGAAGATCCAGAAGGCCGTTGAGCTAGGTGCGACCGGTGGTATTAGTTATAAGGAAGATAGTTGGGAAAAGAAGCTGTTGGGTATGCTCCCAGCTGGGAAGAAGAACTTCGATGCCGTCATTGATGGTGCCGGTGGTGATTCTATTGAGAAATCTGTCAAGTTGCTCAAGGTGAGTGCCACGGGACATTATTCAATTAGCGATGAAAGTACTCACATTCATAGGCTGGTGGTGTCCTCTCTATATATGGAATGACAGTGTCTCCCAAGATGACATTTACGATGTCTGCTGTCCTCAAGAATATTGACGTCCGCGGATCCACGATGGGCTCCCGAAAGGAGTTTAAAGAGATGATTGACTTCATCAATGCTAATAAGATCCGCCCTGTGGTGTCGCGAGTTCTGCAGACTGAGCTAGATGACTTGGCCGCAATCAACGAGCTGTTTGAAGACATGAAGAAGGGCACACAGTTCGGAAAACTGGTGGTTGAGTTTGGCAAGTCTACGGGCAGTAAGCTGTGAGCATGATCTTGCTACAATTCCCTTGAAGTCATGATGCCTGCATGGCTCTCCATTTATACATATGATACATATCCATTGAGGTATTTTGCGGCAACTACGAGTGTTCTTCGTCCCTTCCTCTTGGGCCGCACCACCATATCACCACATCACCACATCACAATGTATCTGCATCTTCAGCATATCATCGCCGCTTTTATCTCTCATCCCCTCTTATTAGAATCCAATCGAGTAACCCAATCTCGAGCTCGCTCATTGTATCACAAATTCTTTCATTCATTTCCGATCTCACCCCCAACATGAACTCCAAAAAGGACCACATCCCCATCCGGCGAGTCTCTCGCTCCGTTTCTCGCGGAAATGGTCATATGCCTCATGTATCGGACTCCCAGCGTTTCCTAGATGATTCGTGGGATGAAGGTAGTTTCCAGGTATTGCCACATCGGGAAAACATTGACCGCATGAAGTTCCCTGTTGATACTGACAGTCAATACAGTCGTTTGATGCCACTCACTATGCCCTACAAACCCTCAACAAGCACATCGAGCGAAGACTCGCAAAGCTGCAAGCCAATACAGTCCGACTGAAGCGTGAACTGTGGCTGCTCCAGCGACACATCAAAGAATTCCGTCATCCTCTTTTCGAGAACTGGGAAGCCGACTTGCTCACTCGTCTTATCGAGGTTGCCCACGCCCATCAGCATAAGAAGCTGCCAGGGGGCCTCGTGATTGGAGAGTCTTCATTTGCCGAGCGAGAAAATATCAACCATGCATACAGCATCGCGGCGAAGGGAATCCGCATGCCGACTCTTCGTAAGCTTGGTCTTTCGGAGAAGTATCATCAGGCTCTACAGCGATATTCCGAGGTGAGTTATTGCCATCTTGATTTAGCGTACCTGGGCCCCACACTAACATGGATCAGGTCGCTCCGTATCGAAGCCCGAATCCTTTCCAGACCGAGTTTGCATTCGCCAAATGGCTGGTTGAGGTGCGGGACGATAGACCCGAACTCTATGGATTTTGGTCCAAACTTTTTCCCGTCTGTTACGACCGGACCGTCCAAGAGAGTGCCTCCATCTTCTAGAGGATTCCCGAGAATCACTTCCTCATCCCTCACGTTTCGTTTGCTTCTATTCTTGGCAAAGCCTTCTATTACTGGCAAAGCATCCAGAAAGAGGTTGTTTAGTGGATACAATAGTCCTTTGGAGATCTTCTATTTCTAGAAGTTTGTGGGTCGGTAGAGTTCCGACCTGGTTCTGCCCCGTGCGGTTGTGATCATCGTGTCTCATCTCAGCTCTCCACATAAAAGTCAAGTCTATTCTTATCAAATACAGTGCCTGCCTTTTTGGGGCATATGCTGCCGCATGGTATGACTCTAAAAAATAACCCTAATCGTCCCATGAACTAGTATAACTAGTGTGATGTCTTAGCCTTCTTCAGTGATCGACAGCGCACATACCTACAGACTACCACCGTTGCATCAAATCCTAGACCACATAACCACATAACCACAGCTAGTGTTCACCGAACGTAAATAAACCCGTCTAAATGTCAAACGCGCTAAAATCACTGGTACAGCGGGCAGTTAGTCTCATCCGTTCGAGTAGATGAACGAACAACGAACAACGAACAACGAACATTAAACAATAAACATTAAGCAATAAGCAATCTGCAACGAACTCCCACGTCACGATCCTCCAAACCCTATTCCAGCATCCTACTGCATAACGCAGTGTCATAGTCAGTTGTCGTTGTCAGTCCGGAGTACTCCGTACTCCACAAAATTGTTCCCGCTCGCTAATAATAGCTCCTTTTTTTTTACGGTGTACACTATACTAAGCACGATACTAAATTTTAAGTGCGAACTAAAAAGTGAGACAGCCCTAAAGCGGTATGTACAATATTCTTGTTCGCCCTGAAAGGTTTGCCTTGGCGAAGCTAGCGCAACGCTCTCAATGGCAACTTGATCAACCTCGTGGACCGCTTTTCAGGGTCTACCAGCCTTCCCCGACTCACCCCGACTCGGATATGTGCCGAATGGTCTTGTGTGTTTTTTTTGGGGGGGGGTGGGGTGGGGGGTGCGGTTCTTTTTTCTTCTTTGGTGCTAAGCAGTTTTCGAATTAGGCTTAGACTTGTCGCTACTATGTACTATGCCGTTTACTCCATAGATTGCCATGTTTTCCATTCTTTCCATGGAGTAAATATGTGTAATTTGAGAATTATGGATGTTTGGTGCGGGTTACTATTCTATTCGATTCTTTCCCCCCCTTTTGCGCCTTTTTTTTAATCTAATCCAGTGGATGCAGGTGGAGTAATGAAGTAAAGAAAACAGGACTTTGTATCTGTATATCCAAAATAAAGATATAGGTGGTATAATGTACATAATGTACCATAGAAATAAAAAGGCTGATACCAATATAAATTAACCTTAACAAAGGTTAATGGTTCATGGGCGTAATAAACCGTCCGATAAAAGTTGCTGCCTACCTTGGCGTCTACCTTGGCATTGACGGGACACAATATGTACATAAACAATCCACGTTTTTCTGAAGTGGAGACAAGCGCATGGAAAAAAGTGGAAAGAAATGGAGAAACCCATAGACCGTGCACTTTACTCAAGTCAGAACTCTGTCCCGGTCTGATTTAGCGTCGAATCCGAACTAGAACGGGGTAGGGCGCGACAATTGACCAAAGAAAAGTGGTTGACTGGAGCTACCAGCGAAGCAGCGCACTCGATTTGGTATGGTTTGGATTGATGCGAAAGTGCTGCCAAAATTGGATGTGCTCAAAAGGTCGGAGAATGGGTCCGGGAGCCCGGGATTAAATTTTATTTTGCTCTGATTGGTGAGATTATATACGTTACTCCACTTCACGGATATATTTCTACGGAGTGCCTTTCTACCGTATGATATATACTACGGAGTCCGATAGACTACCGAATACTCCGTACATTATAGGCTCAACGTTTAGTTCCCACTTAGAGTTTGGGGGCGAAACTTCGATATAAACTTGGTTCCCGATGGAGCTCGAAAAATAGAGTTTAATAGGTTCACTATAGGAGTGACAGCTTGGTAGAGTTAATTGTTCGAAGGGTTCCATCAACCTGAAACCATACTTCAACTTCAATGGTTTCGATCCGCGACTTGATTTGAGGGATCGAATTGATCGGAATTTGAGTAACGCTTGTCATTACGGCGTTTGGCGGGGTGGAATTGTCGAATTCTTTTTTGGTGTGATGTGGTGATATATATACTCCTACCTACATATATTTACTTCTACTATAATCCATTCTCTTTTTTAAAATTTTAAGCCGCCAAGATAAAATTGATATACTATTATACCCCACTGAAAATTCATCTAATCATACCTCCAGTATCTCTCCAATCCCAGATTCCGCCCAAGCTTGTATGTTGTAATTCGAACCGGATCGCCATGAAGATCTCTCTGTCCCAGCCCCTGACTCGTATCTAGCACCCAATGAGCTACACGTTACGAGCCAAGCCGCCACGTTTTTTTTTTTTCGCACGGCTAAAGAAATATAATATTGAGATATTTTCGCCTAAATATGCTTGATACGAGGATGAGGTAAAGATAGTACAGCAAAACTCAAAGGACACGGGATCTCGCATCAAATCCACGACACCAGCTAATCAGCTAAGATCTACACTTAAACCGCGCCCAGATATAAGGGGGGTTTTTTTCATTTTATTTATTTTTTATACACGCAGTAACCATGAGAGCAATGAAGACCCAAGTGGGTACAAGAGCAACAGCCTTAGAGTAGCGCAATCTCTTCATTGGTCATGCTAAAGACATCCTGCAACGAAGAGCTTACGGAAGTTGATAAAACCCTCCCTGTTGGCAATCCTTCCAATTCTGCCCTCCCCACTAAAACATAGCAGCTCGAGTGACTTCGATTCAGATGCGGCGGGAGGATGCATCGGTGATCCATATGGAGATGTCTGTTAGCCAATCTTCTACGCAAAAATATGACCGCGACAAATCCACAAACACCGGTTTGAAAGGTGAAACTGATTCCCTGCTGTCAACTTTGACCGCAAATCCCTGCGATAATCTTGTTTCTCATCCGGTGTTTCATTGTTATCAAATATTATCAAGGCTACCACCGGAGAACAGAGGATAGTGCAGGCAAATATAGCCGATAGTATTAACCGGACTGCTGGGGCGAAACTTGCTAACTTTTAGCTCCGTGCCTGAAACCGCAATCCGCGGAACCCATTAACGTTCATTCCCCGGAAGCGCGGGCGGTATGTGTAAGTTGTATATTCTGTATGTCCTTCGTATGGACGTACGCTTCTGATAACTGATAACCGCTTTTTTCCTCGAGGGGCTAAGGAAGGTATGTTAAAGCTAGCATCAGCGGTTTCCACCGTTATATAATTCTCTGCTCGTGAGTGGCTATAGAGGATGGAGCTAATAAGGAGGATTGACACCTCGCTCTGCCATGGAGGGATCGTCGACGAAGGAGGCTACCCTGTGGGAGAAGATCTTCTTTGCAGGGAGGTCAAAAAAAAGAAGGCCATGAAAGACATGCAGTTGATTCTGAGGCGTGCACGATTTCCGATTTTGATTAGCCATTCATCATGGGTAGAGTGGCACTTGATTCCCCTCTATCGTTTAATTTCAGGGGGTACAATATACGAACCCGACGTCGAAAGACGGGTTCTTCTCACGTAGAATAAAGATACCTAACATTAATCTTTTTCTCTCTCCAAAGCAGACAGAGATGTAAGTGAGCAGTCGGACCACCTCCCAAGACGAAAAGCGGGTCCATGTCACATTCCTCCGAGCTATGGTGCAGTACAGAACCTCATGTGAACGAGAGCAAGCCGGTGATCTTCGAACCCATCAACGACACCGGTTGTTTTATTTCTTTTATTTCTTTTTTTTTTTTTTTTTTTTGAAAAAAAAAAATCGAGGATCGTTTCCGTTTGTCTTGCCCCTTCGCGAACAGAACCAGGAGGAGCTGAAATACAAAATGTA